ATTTGTTCATTATGCTGGGCGGAAGTGTGGCCGAGAGAAAGACTACCTAATATCGGAGTTCGCGAAGAAATCGGAGTAGCGCTATCTTAGGTCAATATGACGAAGCGGTTAAGATAAGATAAGCTTCATTAAATATAACTCAGTCTAGAAGTTAATTAGTGTCTTGAATACCAATCCATTTTCGAAATAACTCTCGGATGGCTTACTTAACAGAGATAAAGAGAATAGCCGCTCCACTAAATTGTTCGGGGTAATCTCCGGGACTCTAGACGGAATATGAAATATTAGTATCTTAAAATTATCAAATTATGTCTTACTTAAGTGTGACTAGCGGCATGATTATCACCGTCGTTAATAACTGGGGTAGAAATGTGGGGAGTATAAATGCTAAACTCTTGTTATCACTGGTCGCCAGAATAATAATGACCTTAGGGAACCGCGAAGCGACCACTTCTATTGTCTGACGCTAAATGTCGGACTAAAATCGTGTGTCTAGATTACGGTACAGCCGCTAAAGTGCGATCTGGACCTCTTTGGAACCCTAGACAAGACGGTGTTAAGCCTGACTATAGATCGCGACCTTCTTTATGAATGAAACGCCAGCGGTGACGGGATCTCGTATCGAGACGGGCTGAGCTCTCTTACCGGTGGGAAGCGCACAAACTTCATCCTTAAATAATGTTCACTAAAGCTTACTAATTCATAGATATACCTAGACCCTAACATCTATTAAGAGTCCGGCGAAGTTAATGGTGTGATCGCTATAGAGTCGGTTGCTAGTGATGCCGGCGTGCGCTATCTAAGCGTGAAATAATATCGGGAGCGAAATGCCGTTAGTACGTATGTTTTCGTCCATATCGTCGTCCTTATCTCCAGTAATATTAATGTTACCTTCGAACTTAAGACCACTAAAGTACTTGACGGCGATAGCCACCACGATTTAATGCCATTTCTAAATGGCGAGAGCCCGTCTAATGCTTCTCTTACTCTAGCGAGATAGCACGGTAGACATATGATCTTCAGGCCACGTCTTAATCCCCTAGTTAAATAGATAGTTACCCACAGCTTCGGGAATGTTACACTCCTCTAATAGTAATATGCGGAACGGCTAGATAAGAGCGAGATACTGAACGAGTAACTAAGCAAACTCGGGAAAGACAAACCGGACAGGGGAACGAGATGCGTGCGTGCGTATCTGGGATTTATAGTACGTTAAAACAAACAAAAGAAATTTAAATAGCAGTCAAAGATTGCGAAGCGCTAGACCTAAGTTTCGCCAACGAATTCCTAAGAACTTGACTCGCCGTGCCGGCTAACTAGAGCCTTTATATAACCCTACTAAGAGAGCCTTCTTAAATTCTTTATCCGCCAGTTTATACTCTTTAGTGAACTCTAATTGGATTGGTCACGTGGCAGTCTCGTCGTGCTCATGTTACTTAGTATGAAAGATGGTGTTTAAGCGATCTTAATCTTGCGTGATGCGCTTTATTAGCTATATCTTGCAGCCTTTATAGTGGACAGCATTCCGGACTTCCTTAATGAAACTGTATCCGGGTTAGTTATTAGACTAGTTATCCTGTAATTCGGTGATGCGAAATGTGGGAACATCGGAAAAGCTAAAGCACAGCTCATCATAGAAGATTTATTTAGCCTTCTGTAACGCCATAGTGATTTCTTTGACTAGATCTTAAATGCTATATCGTATATCGCTGTACGTGAGATTTCGACCGCGCTCGTTCTAGATAATTAATGCTTTAGGGATTATGGCGCCTCTAACCTTCATTATGTATAATTACTAGTTACCCATAATACTGACGAGATCACAAGAATTATTAGTGATCTATATCTTATATAGCTACTTAAGTGGCTACTTAATATCTTTAAGCTCTTAATGTTCTTTAATGTTATAAGCATCCTAAAGTAAAACTAATTAGTAGTAGTAAATTAACTTACTTAGTAGTTTAGTAACTCATACCTCGGGCTAAAATGTGATGGTCTTAATCTCGTCTTAACCTTAAATAATGGTCATCCGCATACAGATAAATGATATGATGGCACTATCATATATATGTGCAATTCGGTGCTAAATCAATATAACACAGAAATTAAAGATATGGTAGTTTAGTATGAGTTTAAGCTCAGCAATTCTCTTGGTCTTCTCTTCCTTCACTATATAATGATTCTCCTCTTCTAACTCTGCATTATCCTCTATATCTAAAGAAGAATGATACGTTAATAACTCCTCGCTAATCTTTAACGCAAGAAGTAACGCTTCTAATTAATTCTCCGTAATAACAAACTTTTACACGTCGAAATGACCCTCCCAAACGCGAATATAATAACATAGTAATGCTTGAAAGACTGCTACATATTTCTGAAATAACAACTGATTTTGAAGAGCTTGAAACGGGTTCTGACTAGTAGTACCTAATTAAAATATATTCAGCACTTTGGCGTCGATATGTAGTAGCTCCGAAACTAACTTATATGCCTTAATCATTACTCGCTCAATAGACATACAAATTTCCTAGAGACATGGGTCATCCTGTTGAGATTTGGGGGTCTTGTGAGATGCAGCCACTACCTTGGCGTCTACGCCGGAGATATGATGATGGAATCGACTCTTACGTAACCATGGGGAAATCTTAGAAACATGGTTAGGTTCACTAATCTGCTAGTAACGTGCTTCGTTGCGCTGGATAGCATTCTTAACTTAAGACAGAATAGCCTGAGAGACATTAGGGCGGAGTGATAGACTAAGACGCCTAGAATCTGACCCGGGCGTAGAAGTACTGAGTGAAGATTCGGGGTTTTTAGTATCTATAGCGCCCGAGTTAGCCTTCAAATCATTGATGGTGAGAGCTCGTTACACTACCTAATAATTCTCGGCTTTAGCTTTCGCGAAGAAGTGCTGTAAGATGACCTTCTAATATATAGAACACTCTTTTTGTTTGCGTTGAGTGTTGACTCTATATTCGCGGCTATAGTGTCTCTGTATCTTCTCTTGACTAGTAACTCAGTATTTACACGAATCGATAGCGATACAGATAAACCCCTTAAAGAATTGAAGTCCGTGGATGAGTGGGCTATTATCTAGTGGGTTAGTGACCTCAAGAGTAATATTCTAAGTAGTGACCCATTCCTTAATGCTCTTTGCTCGCTCTCTAGTAATGCTATGCTTTCTCTTTAAATGTTCTCTTAAGTTCTTTCTGGGAGTATAATATATCTGGTGCTCGGTGCAGAGAATAACGCTATAAGTTGTGAGTGATTGTAGTCATCGAACTGGCGGGGTTAGGATAAATAGTTAAGTGTTTTAGTGAGGATCTGGGATATTGTTATTCACTACTGACCCGCGTGACGGGCTGAAAGAGTTCAAATTAAGCTTAGATAAACTATTGGGTATATCAGATAAACTACAGAAAAAATATTGATGAAATTCACGGTGATCGTTATGATGCAGCATTAAACGTGTTTAATCACTCGATGAGAAAAGTGAAGTGTAGAAAGCTTAAATTTTGTGTGTGGACGGATTACCCTATGGATGGTTCACCCACTCTCTATGCCAAGACCTATTTTATATGTGGACGGGTCACCCGTCCACGGCGTAATAATGTTAGGCTTAGAGCAAAACAAGTTCGTTAGGATAAGTATTAAGTGTAGTTTATTACTAAGTGTCCGCCCTAAGCGGGAGATGATTGCCCATAAGTAAGGCCGTGTGCGGAAGATAGATTCAGAGGCAAAAGATTTGAATTTGAGGATCTTTTCAAAGTTAGACACATAACGAGTATATCTAAGGCGGACGACGAGCTCCTAGCTCCACATGGTGTCCGCTAAGAACTCTCAGAAACACGTACTGGGTACATACAGTAGCTAGTGCCTCCTCCATGTGTAATCCGCAACCAAATCTTTGTCACACCACTTGGCAGGACATTCTGTCAAAGCTATAAAAGTGTTGGTGAAAGCTGGCTGAAGAATTCTTTCTAGATACAACCGATTCTTAGTACGGTCTGCCTCTCTACAAGCAACACGCAACGAATGTGGTGGCATTTTTGGTTTTTTTTTTCGGAGAGTTTGGTGTATTCAGCATCAAGTTGCACAGGAAATCGCGACAGCCTGACTCTACTAAATGTGTCTGCCTGCTGATTCCCTTAGTTTTGTTGCTGAATTTCCAGTAGACAGTGGCTAATCGATAGTCGTAATCGAAGCTATCTGCAAATTAGTGACTAAATTGTTCTTTGCAAAAAGCTGTAGAGGTAATGTTTGTGCACAGAATGGCTCTCGGAGTACTATGTCTGCGCTCTCTGACTGGTTACAGGAAGTAGATTGGTCGGGGTAAGAAAATCTTCATCACGCGCCGGTTCTCTGCACGATGCGGCACGCTCTACTGTTATGTTGTAAACTCTTCTCATTGCATGCATATCTATCTGTGTCCTCGCTTGCCGACTAAATTATAGGTAACTCGACAAGCCCATTGGCATTTTCTCACGAGAAAGATCCTTGCGCCTTGCGGAGTCGGCAGCGATCTTAGCTAATTCCTCTTCAATGATCGTTGTTGGTGGAAGGTTGCGACACTTCTCTGTCGAAGTTCCATAGTGGATACCTGCAAAGGTGATGCATCCTTGGTGGAATATGCAATCACAACATCGAATCCCTAGGACAGAAAAAATGGCCAGGAGATGTTCAGCGGCCCCCTCCATGCACGAGGAAGACTTTCCATCATGATGCTCTACAAGCCATTCACGTGGATAAGAATTGACAATAATCTTCCAGGTTAGATCGGAGGTGTTCCAGACAACCAAGTAGCACGCACTAGGTAGGTATACCAAAGCTGAACACTCGTGATTTGTTGGCCCGGATACCAATTTCGGGGACTCCGGACATGTCGAACTAGCCCAATTCAGACCGGCACCTCCTCTCGGGCCGCTTTGTAGAGCACAGGGAACTCACCAGTATCGTACCACTCCACGAAGGCACGGTATTTAATGATATGATGTGAAACAACTATGAGTCGCATTGGAGCACTCTGGCTAGCTTCATCTAAGTATCTCGTAAGTTTTTACTTCAATCATCTCGCGAGACATCGCAAAATGGGGTTGAATGTGTTTATACCATCTGTCACGACTGCCTCTCTGGCGACAGCATCGCTGATATGCTTCACCAACCGCAACTCCATCTGGCGTCTGGGAGCTGTGCCCCTGGTTGCGCTGATGGCATACTATGCTTGGGAGGCATTAGACTTTTTTGACAACAACCAGCTCTTCAATCCCATGCAGGCGGGGTTCATGATGGCATTTGCAATCTACTACGTTGTGCTCCTGACCATTGTCCGACTTGATGACAAGGATATTCGACGAGAAATAGCTCAGCACACCAAGCAGACAGAAAGCGACATTTCCTGGCGCCAACGGTTCTCGTGGACGTTGTATGTTTTGACTTCTCTGCGGGCCGTCGACACGTCTTACGAGATCAAGCGCCTTGACCGGCCCAAAGGCCCAGCTTCGCAATCGCGGGTGCGGTTCCTGGCGGAAAATCTGATGATCGTCATCGGGCAGTACTTGGTCCTTGACTTCTTCACTAGCAACCCGACGCCCGAAGATGTAAAAGAGCGTCTTTTTGCGCCAGGGAGAGAGTACTTGATATTCAGGCCAAAACACTTGCCGCCACCTACATCGGAGGAAGTTGTTGTTCATCTAATGATTGCGCTCTTGTGCTGGGGCCCTATGGGCAGGTGGTTCATTGACGTCCAGTACCGAACAGCAGCAATACTGTCGGTGGGCTTAGGCATCAGCAGGCCAGATCAATGGCCACCCATGTTTGGGTCCATCTTTGAAACGTATACGCTTCGTAGATTCTGGGGGTGAGTCGATGACCTTGCTATAGCACGTCGCATTGAGAAACATGATATGCTAATGCTGATGGACAAATCTAGACGATCGTGGCAACAGCTGTTCCGATTGAGTTTCCAAAGTATCGGGGATTTTCTGTGCAAGGGAGTCTTACGGTTGCCACCTCGATCGATGGTCGCACGTTATCTGAGCACAGTCGCCATCTTTGCCATCTCGGCTTTTCTCCATGCGGCAATGGACGCAAAGTCAGGCATTGGGCTTGACAAGACGGGTACTGTACGCTGCTTCATGCTCCAACCTGTGGGGATTGTCATGGAAGATGCCGCACTCGCGGTTTATCGCCGCGTGTCTGGTAAGGCGCAAGAACCAAGAACCTGGCACAGACTTGTAGGGTATGTCTGGGTTTGGACATTTTTGGCGCTGGTTGCCCCTCTTTACAACATGCCCCTATTCTGGTATCAGGATGCGTCCAAGGCCAGAGTCCCCTTTCCTGTAGTGGGACGCTTACTGCAATTCCTCAGTGCGTCAAGGGGGTGAACTTTTCGGTGGGCTTGGCGAAGACGACTTTGGACACGCAGATGGAGGCGGCTCATCGCCCGTCGGGAAGTTAGCACCCTGAGACGGTGTGCGGTGGAGAGGAGGGTAACAGAGTGATGGAGTTCGGCCGTTACCAATAAAAGACAAATCATCACTCATTAGGTAGACACCAGCTTCCGCACTAAGTGGTGTCGCATTCTTTACGAGTAGTATAGATACTATCCAGATTTATTAGCAATCACCAAACAAAAGCTGCTGAGAATAGACAAGGCAACGGAGGCGCCCGCACAGGATGCAGGACCATCACAAGTGCGATTGACTAGGCTTATTGGAAGGCTTTGCTTTAGTCACGAGGTTCCGAGTGCTCTGTCCATACTGTCCGATTGAATGCTATCCGTGGGTGCAGCTGGTGCTTCCTCATCTACTCCAGTTATATCATCTATAGCATCGGTATCTTTTTTGTCGTTGGTAGCTCTATCTATTTACTTGCCACAGTTGATGTAAAGCTCAATCTGAGCTATTCTATGTTCTAGATCTCCAAGGACCTGGCGGGTGACTTCCATATCCTTTCTGCCCTCTCGGACAAAGTTGGCCAAAGGTACCGCCAGGCTTCTAATCACCTCGAGCGTCCGGCACAATTCTCGTGAAATGATCGTCACCTGAATCAGTTGCTGCTCCTCCGGGTCGAGATTGAAACAACCAAACCCGACGCCTGGAAGCGCCGCAGCCTGAGCAGTTCGGAATCCAGTGCTTATCGTTCGCGCCCCGAAATGATGATGATTCGGCGGTCTCTTAAGACCATCAGTGTTCCAACGTCGAGCAGAAGCTTCTTTCAAGCCCGGATAAACGTCTGTGCAACTTCGCTCCAACATGTCAACTATCTGAAGTAGTCCTTGGACCAGGATCACCATGCTGCTAGGAGACTCACGACAGCACGGACTCCCTATCAATTGACCGATTTGGTTCATGGATTCCTTGTTGATTCGAAGGGCCTCGTCGAGGGCGTACACGCACTCACACACCTCTTCCAGGCTGCTGAGAATGCTCGCGCACGTCATGATGTTCTGGGATCGTGCACTCGGTGAGCTGCAGGGAATGGAGCATTGTATGGGTTTCATAAAAGCGCCAATATCTTTCCAGCTCGTTGCATGGGCGTCTTGGTTGTTCGTGACCCTTGGCTGTTGTGACAAGGGGATGTTCTGGTTTGGACTCCGCGAGCTCAAGCCTTCTCCCAGGCCGACAGAATCAGACACCTTGTTGGGCTGCGGTGGTGGTGGCGGTACCGGAGCATCGTGCCGGTTTGGTGTCTCTGCTGCAGTGCTTGTACGCACAGCCTCAATCACATCCCCTTTTGGCGTGTGGTTTGGCAGGTAGGGAGTAGTATGGTGGCCCTGGTCATTGAAGAATTCCAAAGATGTGTCATCCAGCAATTCCGAAAACAGGTCGGCATTGTAGTAGCTTTCGCCGGGAGGTCGTTCGGAAAAGGAGTCGTGGGAGCTAAAGTCAATGTCACTACAAACGGATGATCGCCCTTCCGGGAGCGTAGGTATGGACGACCACTGTAGATTGTCTTGACAAGGCTGCTGAGCTTGAGGTACAGGTCTGCTCGCAAGCACATTAGCTGCGCTTGGAGAGGGTGCCTGTGAGCAGCTGTTCTTTCGGCGTGAAGCATCGACACGAGCAGCATCCCGGGCATGTCGTCCTCGGGTTCTGCCCACCATGGACTCGACATAGACGCACTCGCATCCAAGCTCACGACACCTTTTGCACCCCGTCTTCTCTCCGCTGCACCGGACCTAGCGAAATTCCACGTCAGAATTGCGCCATTCACTTCTCAAACAGAGCGGACTGGAGGCTGAAACTTGCCTTGGCGGCATGGCAGCTGTTGCACGCGGCTCGAAGGCGGGCAGGCTGCCTTGGAGGATCCATTTCGAGAGTCCGGGGAGCGGTGTCAGCAATCTTACACGCGGACCGACATCAGCTCTTACTTGGAATTTTTCAAAGGATACATAGAATTGTTCCCAAGTAGACTCCGGCGGCATCCCAGGATCTGGGGGGCACGCTTAGGTAGAAGTACCTGTCCGATCTACACGTCTCTCGTACATACCAGATCCTGTCTAAGACCACATTGAAGCGGGCAGGCTATGTAAAAGGAGCTCTAGGCTCAATGCTGATGCTGCGAAGCGGAGTCATGGAGCGAAGTAGGCAGTTAGACCCTCTTTGCTAACCATTGACTGCTGTGCACTGAGAGGTTGAGTTGCCCATGCTCCATTCTCTAGCCATCAGCACAATCCTATACAATCGAGAAATATCGTGAAACAGGACCTTGATTTGTCCTGATCCTACCGGCATCTTGGCATGTTAAAGGTCCTCATATCACTCGGATCAACCAATCAGCCTGTCGCTCCTCCGCTGATCGACACCGTCCTTGAAAAGTTGATGGCATTTAGAGTCTGTTTTGTTTCCAACTGAAGAACCTCCCACGAACTGCACCTGTTGTCGTTGTGGAGCGTGCACCAATGCCGCGCAGGCAATTAAACCTAGCATCTGCCTCGCGGCGCAAACGTGCCACTGCTATAACTTAAGCCGCCATCGCAGAGGCCCCCAAAAAAGAGATTCATGTACCTCTAGATCGGGCCGGTCGGCCAGAGATCTCTCATTTACAACGCACCAGTACGCGATGAGCACGATGAACATGAGAGGAAGTCGGTGTCCTCTCCGTCTGCGTAGAGTAGACATGAAAATGCTGCTTCCACGATCGACTCGACCCTTTGCTTGAGTCTGCTGCGAACAAAGATGTTGTCCTATTGGTTCTTCGCGTTGGCTGCTGTCGCCGTCTTCCTTTGTAGGGCGTATCTTTTCCAATCACCCTCTCAGCTCCATAGCCCGTTAACAAGCACGGTGGCTACTTGCGTCTCGGTCATCTTTAACGTAAGGGCTTCCGTAAGGGGTACATCTTATGTGATCTAACTTGCTTCTGCATTTCAGTTTTTCCTTACTCGCCGAAATGCAATAACCCACCGGCAGACGGGCAGACAGATTCCAAGCTGTCCTTGGAAATGGCCTAATGGACAGGGAGACGTTGCCAAATTTCTCGATGGCATGGAAAACAGCGAGTCGTGGGGTACTGAGTTGGGAGGCTGCTATAGGATCTGGGCCGGCACCAATCCCGAGATGTAAGTTCAAGTCATGCGGTGTGCTACCGACCCAGGCTGACCCTCAGCCCCTAGAGTGGTATCCAAACCCCAGCACATCAAAGCTGCCTTCCAAGACTCAGACAAGCATCTTAAGGCTCATAACAACGACTCGGGTTATTTGATGAGTCAAGTACTGGGAAAATGCCTAGGCCTAGTAAGCGGAAAGGAATATGCCACGCTGCGGGAGCTCCTCGAGCCATCCTTCACCTACAGCCAATCCGGCCGCTACTTACTCCGGATTCAACAGAGGACTGAGGAGTGGTTCCGACAAAGGCTTTTCATGGATAAGGGTCATAAAGACAGACTGACAGTGGACCCAGTCAACGACTTCAAATTCCTTCCGTTCCTGATCGTCGCTGATATACTATATGGAAATGTCTCGCCCGAGATGGAAGCTGAGCTATTTTCCATTGGCCCGGAGCGCGAGAAGCTGTTCCAGCATGTAATTGGTGGAGGCATTTCTCGTTTCAACCTGTCCAAGTACCTGCCAACGGAAGCAAATCGCACTTTGCGATCTTTCCAGCTGCAATGGGCCAGGTTCAATGCAGAAGCATACGAACGCGCTGTCACGGAGGGCTACTCTGAGGCAGTGGTGGTGAAACTCTTCGAAGCAGCCAGGAGAGGAGCGATAAACTGGGATCATTGCCATCAGACTCTTGACGAGATGCTGTTTGCAAACTTGGACGTCACCATGGGTGCCTTGTCCTGGCATCTCGTCCATTTGGCGGACAACCCTAGTGCCCAGAGCAAACTCAGGGAGGAAATCGCCACAAGAACAAAGTCGGGTCGGGACGGAATTACTGCTTCTGGCTTGTCCGACGAGGGGAACGAATACATCCAGAGCTCGACAACGCTCCTCGCTGCATGTATCTTGGAGTCGTCTCGGCTCCGTCCATTGGCTGCATTTACGGTTCCTCAAGCTTCGCCGACAGATCGTGACATAGACGGCTATACCATCTCAGCAAAGACAAATTTTGTAGTAGATACGTTGGCACTCAACATTCGACAAGACTATTGGGGCGAGGATCGGCATTCCTACAGACCTGAGCGATTCTTCGGCATCCCACGCTCAGACATACGCTACCGCTACTGGCGCTTCGGATTCGGGCCTCGACAGTGCCTGGGAAAGTATATTGCCGAGTTCATTCTGCGAATGGTAACGGTGACAGTGATCAGCAAATTTAGTCTGCATCTGTCGGCGCCCGAGGCTGAGTCTTGGGAGAGGGACCGAGGGGTCTGGATTTCTCAACCCAAGGTCCAACTAGAATTTGAACATCTCTGAGTAATTTACTAAGAGATACTGCGGGTCGAAGTCAGAACGTGCCAAGAAGGATCGATGCCGTTCTTGTCGCTTATCACATCCAATCCGCATATAATAGAAAGCGATAGTCGTGCCCCATTTCCTCGCTTCTTCGAAACAAGGACTGCAGATCCCCCGGTCACGAGCTATGCCATGTGAAACTAACGAACATGCAGCACAACACGAGCACGGAAGACGCTTTGCTTGATCCACTTTATTCGCTCCTGAGCGTCGAAGTTGGAAAACGGATATGAACCCTTGGGTGGTCATTGGAAGGATGGTAGTCCACCGGGCAAGAACGGAGTACAGCCGATTGGCAACACGCTTTACCCGTACAGCATGTGCGGAAGACGGGTATTCCTCGTGCTGAGGACAAGGAATCACAACCGGGTGAAGCTTTTGCATTTCCTTTTGCGGACCGGCCAGGGGCTGAGAGTACATGTAGCTGAATGAAAGAGCGTGGGCGGAGTCTTGGCTCTTCAAGGTCCTCAATTATATTTGAACTCGGCCCACACGATAACAAACAGAACTTTAACCTTCTCAGCAGATAGCCGAGGGATTCAGCAAATGAGAACAGCATCTCATTTGCACTTCCGCTCGTCGAATGCAAAGCAGAAATTGCCACCCGGATCTACTGTAGCTAAGTACGCGTAGACAGTATATATATAGGCGGGTGAATGAGTAGCGAGGTCCAATGCTGTGGACAATCATTGATACTTAGGAAACTTCTTTCAGTTCTGTTGTTAGCAATCCCTAGTCAGCCTGCTCCCTCAAAAGTCTCCTCCTTCACCATGTCCTCTACAAATGGGGAGAATTTTGGTCAAGCCAAAGAAACAGCTACTGTGAGCCCGTCCCTAGTGGCAGCGCCAGACAAACTCTCCGGAAATGCAGACACGACAGGACTGCCAACAGGGCACAAGTCGATCGGGGTTCTCCGAATCGAGGCGATATACAACAGCCTTACCACAACCAGCCTCACGGCCATTCTGGTCTGCATATTCCTCGTAGGCTATGCCTACGGGTTGGACGCGACCGTCAGAAATGTCTACACCACGTATGCCACCGCCAGCTACCAGAAGCATTCCTTGCTGGCGACTGTTAATGTTCTGCGCACCGTCTTCGCTGCCGGCGCTCAGTTTACATCGGCTCGGCTGGCAGACGGCTTTGGCCGTGTCGAGGTCATTGGACTGGCCATCGTCTTCTACCTGGTCGGCAGCATCGTCGAGGCGACGTCGACGGGTGTGGACAGCTACGCGGCCGGAGCCGTCATCTGGCAAGTCGGAATGACAAGCCTGCAGACCATGGTGACGGTCTTGATCGGAGATCTCACATCGACCCGGCTTCGCCTGTTTGCCGTGTACATTCCCAACCTTCACTTTGCCATCACCACTTGGGTCTCGGGCAACATCACATCGACCGTCCTCAAAGATACCACGTGGCAGTGGGGTATCGGTATGTGGTGCATCATCATCACCATCTGCGTGGCACCACTGGTCGGCGCCCTGCTCTTCCTAGACCGGCGGGCACAACGCATCTCTTCTCAGCGGTCCAACGCCAAGCGTCTCTCCCTTGTGGAGACATTCTGGCGACTCGACACCATCGGACTTTTGCTTCTTATCGCCATCATCGCTCTGATACTTACCCCGTTCACCATCGCTGGCGGCATCAAGACAACCTGGAAGACGGCGCACGTGATTGCGCCGCTGGTTGTCGGGTTTGTCTGCATTCCACTGTTTGTGCTTTGGGAGCGTCGGGCACCTCAACCACTCGTGCGGCTCCAGGATCTGAAAGACCGAGGGGTCTGGAGTCCAATTGCGCTGTCCATCACTACCAACTTTGCCTACGCATTGCAGGGAAACTACCTATACACACTTCTGGTGATTGCATTCAGCTTTTCCGTCAAAGCAGCCACTCGAATCACAAGTCTCTACCTCTTCACGTCCTTTGTGGTTGGGCCGTTTTGTGGCCTGTTTGTCTACAGGTCACGACACATGAAGTATCTTGTGGTGGCAGGAACGGTGTTGTACATGGTTGCGTTCGGGCTGCTGATCAGATACCGCGGCGACTCATCCTCGTCCTCTCGGTCGGGTGTCATCGGCGCGGAAGTCCTCCTGGGTATTGGAGGTGGCATGTTTCCATACGCCGCACTGTCTTCCCTTCAGGTCGCGCTGAAGCATGAACAAATGGCGATAATGACCGGTGTCTTCCTTGCATCTCACAGTATTGGTCACGCGCTCGGTGCTAGTGTGTCAGGAGCCATTTGGTCGCAGGTCCTGCCTTCAACCTTGGAGGAGAAGTTGTCGTTTCAGTCGAATGCCACACTCCCGCGATTGATCTACGCTAATCCGTTTGCCGTCGCGGGCCATTATCCCGTCGGAACACCCATCAGGGAGGCCATCAATAGCAGTTATCGCCACGTTCAGCTGCTGCTGTGTGTCACGGGCTTGTGCCTCTGCATTCCGTTGGTTGGATTTGCCTTGTGCTTCAGAAATCCTGAACTCACCGCGGCGCAAACTCTAGCGAAGGAGGACGACGGGGATGACTCCAACTTAGCTCATAGCCCCGTTGATGCCGAAAGACCGTTAAAGATCTAAACCGGTACTTCGTTGCGTGAGAAAGCTAGGGTCTGGAATCAGAGTTCTTTGTAGGCAGTAAAAGTCAGAAGCAAGGAGCATGTAGGTAGATAATCAGCAGCTATTGAGTACCGAAGCCTACTGGTATCTACTCCTATGAAGAGAATGAACCCGAATATTGTACTTCCGTACTCGTACTATCCAGCTTATCTCTGATGCTAAGGCGTATGACTGTCACAGGACGAGAGTCATTATGCTGCCTGTCCAATACTCCACCAATCATTTGCATGGGGATAAAGACTCATGTGTGAGGAGGCGTCGGCCGTCTAGGAGAGAAGTCCACAGTACACCAGGTGAAGAAGGCAGAGCTACAATGAAGGCACCCATCAGACACGTGCCACCGACCGGCCCGAATCATAAGAGGATTTGTTGTCTACAGGGATCGCTAATAAAAATGCCTACGCTCCTGTTGGAAGGCATATGCAGACTTTTTCTACGTTTCAATTACTGTTCTTTACTCGCTGGCCATAATTACTCAAGATGGAAGAAGAATTGATCGGCCTGAGTCGCTCCCTTGAAGCCTTTTCGGCCAAGATACGGGGCTCATTGAACGCCGAATTGTTGCAGGCACTGAATGCTTATGGACCGAAGCAACTTCCCGACAAGAAACTCAGCGTCCTTGCCGCAGAGAACGTCGATTTATTGCATTCTATAGAGCAGATGCTAACTCCTGCACCATTACTGCTCGCGGATCACTTTCTAGGTAAGACAGTCTCACATAGGGTGTCCAAGTCCCGTTACTAATAAGTGCATACAGGCTATGTCAATACCAAATGCCTCTGTGCTGCGGTTCAGCTCGAAGTTCCGGATATTCTCAAGAGTGGTGCGAAAAGTGTGTCCCAAATAGCGCAGCAGTGCAATGCACGGGAAGATCGCCTCAAACAGATAATGCGCGCATTACACCACAATGGAGTCTTTTCTTGGAATTCGTCGGCGGACGTATACAGCAACAACGCAACCTCGGAGCTTCTCACAAAAGACCACTGGACGCAATGGCGCAATTGGGTGGACCTCTACGGCAATGAGTTCTACGATATCGCCAGGGGTATACCGGCATCGGTGTCCTCTGATTGCACGCACAGCGCTGCACAAATTAACTTCAACACTGATCAAGACATGTTCACGTATTTTACAGCCCAAGGATGGTTGCCTCGATTACATAAAACCCTCGGTGGAGGAGCCACAGCTCAAAGCCCTGGTATCCTCGAAGACTATCCGTGGCACGAGTTTAGTAGCGGTCCTTTTCTGGACATCGGCGGAGGCACAGGAGCTTTGCTAGCACTCCTGCTTCGCAACCATGCATCCTTGACAGGAGCTTTATTTGACACCGAGAGAGTCATACAGCACGCCCGAGGTCTTTTCTACGGGGACGCGGCCACATACGCCGATGTAGCGCAACAGCTTATTCCGAACGGGCTCATAGCGGGCGACTTCTTCGATAGTCTTCCAGCGTTCGAGTTTTACACCATGAAGTGGTGCCTGCACGATTGGAAAGACCCCGATGTCAAGTGCATCCTGTCAAATATTCGAAGCGCTATCAAGATAACACCAAACAGTCGTCTGGTCGTACTGGAATCAATTCTAGTAGGAGGGAGATCTGGACGTCTTTCGAGATATGCAGACATCAATATGATGATGACATCCAATGGTCAAGAGAGAACCGAAGCAGAATGGAGGTCGTTGGCACATGAGAGCGGCTGGGAAGTCCGCCGAATCTTTCCTTTGCGGGGAGCATGGGTCTGCGCTCTAGAGTTACGGCCTGCCATTGAGTCGTGATTGGTGAATGTGATGGAAGTACGGGTGACGCAGTAAACTAGAGGGCTAGATCCGGCCCGAACCAAAAATGAATCCTTAGAGCGCTGTAAACGCTTCTCATGTAGGTTGTGACATGACATATAGTATAGACCTGTTGGCCGTGCCGTCCAAGGACTTCTCAAAGAGGTTCTACTACTCTAGGACAAAGGGATTGTTCATCAAACAACATTCGAGAGGCCTACCATGACGGAATCTAAGGAAATGCCCATGGTGGTCACTGGCGATCCACCTTATGAGGGGAAAGTTATATTATACGTTGTCAAAGGTCAACTTGTTATTGATGCGTTCATGACTGGATGAGATGCACTAACTTCTGCACAGCCGATCAGACATCCTACATCAATTATATCAAACCGCTTATCATGGCCCGGGAGCTCAACATTCCACACGTCATATCTGTGATCGATACAACCCAAGAGTGGTTTTATCGCGTACATCCAGAGCGTTACGTCCCAGCGCTAAGGGACCAAGGTCCGGACAACGGAGAAGAAATTACTGTATTTGAGGGAACAGCATGCTTAGAGTACTTGGCATCGCGGTTTGATGCTGCAGGCACATGGACGGGGAGAACGTATTCCGAGAAAGCCGCAGTCTTTTCATGGACGGCTTATCAAACAGCAGGACTTGGGTAAGTGGGATTCATCATGCTCGAAATTTCCAGACAATCAAGCTGACTGTGTTGGTTATTCAAGCCCAACTGCCAAGTATTGGCTGTACTTTCTCAAGGGTTACCCTAGCAGGGCCGAACCTGTCCAACTGCCTCGCACTATCGAAAAGTAAGACAATGGAATGGAAACGAGAAACCGCCGGTCTTACTGACAATTGAACCCATAGACTGCATTCAAACTGCCTTCGGCAATGGGATATATTGAACGAGCGACTGGCCCACCCAGGTCAGGATTACATCGCACTCAGGGATCGGCCCACTTTGGCAGACCTGTCGTACTTGCCATTCGCCATGCCCTGGATGTTCACGTTCCTCGGGGTCAAGATTGAGGATTGGCCATCTATCAAGGAATGGAGTGACAGAATGTTAAGTCGACCAGCTGTAGACGAAGTTATGCAGATGGCTCCTACTATAGGCCACTGGATATGTTGAAGTAGGGCGGATAAGCATACTGGAGACAGTCTCTCAATCCGTGTTAGCCCAGGATGAAAGGTCGGTCACCGGCAGCCTCGCCTTATCAATTCCACAGCGGGCCGTTTCAAGCCCAAGCCAAAAGCAATGAGTTCATTTCCTGCTTACCGGCTATCTCTAGGCTGTGAGACTTTACAAATGCCCCTGTTCTGGCCGTAGGCATTTCCATACGGACACTGTAAATGATTCCCCCTCCGATAATGGACACTCTACAGCTGCCTTCGTTTCGACGGCATTGGCTGAATGTGCCGACTCTGAGTGCTATTTTGCACCAGAACAAATATATTTCCCTTGGATTGATCATATGTGGCCTGATAACATTACGAGCAATTTCTCTTGCGATTTTCAAGAAACGCCCATCTCGCTTATCCCTCGATGACCTTCCGCATTTTGAGACCGTGAACGATGTGTGGGCCAAGATACAGGAGGGAAATCGACAGGTGCATACACAGGTCCAACCGACTTCCAGAGCTTGTGACTAACTGACTTGATCGAAAAAGTATCCGGGTACACCCTTCGTCTTGACCATGCTCGGAATGAGGGTGATCATCCTTCCACATTCAGCCATCGATGCCATCAAAGCGCTGCCGGAGAGTGTCGTGTCTATCAAGTAAACAAAGCCACATAAGCTGGTTGATATTGAATCCGGCACTAATGAAGTATTCAGGAGCCACCACTACGATGTGTTCCTGGGACAGTATAGTTTCATGGGCACGAAGGCGGACGAGTTCGACGAGGCTATGCGCTATGACCTCCAACGCAACACACCGAAGGTTCTTGCCTCCTTCGTAGCCGAAGTCGACTATGTTTTCGAGAAAACCTTCGGCAAACCCCACGTTTGGGAGGCATTTCAGCCCCGTGAGTGCATGGCTCGGGTCGCTGCTTTGATGTCAGGTCGTGCATTTGTTGGCCTTCCCCTGAGCAGAGACGAAGAGTGGGCGGAAGCAACTGTCACCTACACACAAGATGTGACGAAAGCTTGGATGGTACTACGCATGATTCCCAAGTCCTTGCATTGGTTGCTAGTACCATGCCTGCCGCAGGTTAGGTCTTTGAACCAGCACAAGGCCCTGACACAGCGCAAGTTGAAGCCGCTGCTCCAGCAGGAACTATCAGCCGATAAAGAAGATGGCCAGGTCGGTGATGGTGAGCCTGGCGGCGACATGATCAGATGGTTCCGAAAGCGCTACACTGACCCAGCTACCGCAGAGAACCTCACCCGTGACCAACTTCTAGCAACATTTGCGTCAATCTATAATCTGACAAACGCCTTGAGCTATCTCCTGTTTGACCTTGCGACCTACCCGGAGCACATTGAGCCTTTGCGGGCCGAGCTGAATGAGCAGGTTGGGACCGACGGCAGAATCACCAAGGAGAACATCCAGAAGCTCCGGAAGTTGGATAGCTTCATCAGAGAGTCCCAGAGGCTTAGTCCTCCATCACTCGGTATGAGATCTCCCATAAGGCGTAGTCTGACTGAAAGGGGGACGCTAACCCTCCGACAGCAAACATGCCACGTATTGTGACCAGCCCGGAAGGCCTCAATCTTCCCAGTGGCCATGTCATTCCGCGAGGAGAGAGAATCATGGTTCGCGCACATACTCTGAACCTTGACCCTGCCCTTTGGGAAAATCCAGACACGTTTGATGGGTTTCGCTTTGAGAGACTACGGTCAGCTCCCGGGAACGAGCTCAAATATCAGCATACAACAACCGGGGTGGACAACATTAATTTCGGACATGGTATCTGGGCGTGCCCAGGAAGACATTTTGCAAGCAGCCAGATGAAAGTTGTCTTGGCGCATTTGCTTCAGCACTACGACATCAAACTCGAGGACGGAAAAGAAAAGAGCCGGCAGCAGCATTTTGGGCTTGCCATTGTCCCAGACACTGGGTCAAAAGTCCTATTGAGGTACCGAGAGGACACCAGATAGCTTTCAACGTGTTTACTATGCTGTAGGCTGCAATTCTATGCCGACTCTAGTGGACAGCTAGATCGGCGTTCCCCGGAAGGTTGTCGCTGACCGGTGGTGGTATCAAATAATCTCATCGGCCCGCCCCCTTATTCACGGCGGCCTCGCCTGTAGCTACCGCCCCTTAGCGTAAATCCGCTCTTGAGACAAATAGTTATCTACACGTGGTGTTGCACTGGTAGACAAAGTATGTCAGAGCAAGCTACGAGACTCATCATGGCAACAACAAAAGGGGATTTCGTCTTCAATTTAGCAATCACTGTTCCAGTCAATCCTCCCGGTGCCGAGCCAGTAGTGAATGCGACCGAGTTCTGGACAGGATTGCGTCGAGGCGGTGCCAACCCGGAGTTGTTTGCCGTTTACGTTGCGAGGACAGAGGTTCTACCAAATCCCACCTCGGATTTAGTTTTCCAGCGAAGGCTACATATGGCGGATGGAGCAGTGCACACCAAAGAGGGCGCCACGATAGACCAGGATGTGCGGCTTGCGGACAACCTGCTGGTGAGTATCCGCGTCCACCCTGCTGTTCTGCCCGCTGCTGGGAGCGTGGGGAAGGGAGCATAATAGTCGAATCGGCTGACCTGGTGATGATGATTCCAATAGTGCGAAGGTGTAACAATGGGTAATGGCTCCAGAAGCACCATAATACTCTCTCACGGTGGCCAATCGACGGATGGGCCAAACGATCTGTATCTCAGCGCAGTATACGAGCTTCACGTCCCGGGTGTCGAGCCTGGCAGCGCGCAGGCGGCCGAGATAGAAACAAACTACACGACACTTGCGAGAGGCGCGGCGAACACAGTTGTTCAGAAGGTTAGGGAATGGAAGATAGATGACAAGTTGTGAGGGGCAGAATGCGACGTGCACGAGCGACGCCTAGTATTGGTGTTGGTAGACTCGGACAATGCATTCTTTTCAAGCCAATGTAGGACTTCGGACGGAGTATCGTGGTCGATGCAAGAACGTTTGCCTTTTCCCCTAAATTGCTGCGAGTCCGAGTTTTGAGCGGGTGGTAAAACGCGCAATATATCTGCATGTGCTTATTAGTACATTGTTTAGTGGTGATAATTTTCAGGTATCGGCCTCGATATATTGGGAGCCAAAGCATATAAGCACCACTACAAACCCCTAGAGAGTCTTATCACTTAGGGATCCTTGTAGGCACTTACCCCCAAGGCTATGGGCTACTAACAAACTACCTATGTTGCCAAGAATAGTTGTCTCTCTGTCGCTACTGAAGAGCTCTCTCCACCTGGGTAAGGAAAATCAATGACTAGGTCCATATCGCTGTATATCACCAATTTTCATCCAACTCAATTTTCCCTGGAAGCAATATCTGATGCAAAGGCCTAAAGGTCAGTCTTGGCTGACAATCCTCGCTTTTGTCCTTGATCCAGAAGCATCCGCTTCTGTTCAGGGGTCCAGATTCTAGGTATCTGATCATACAAGGCAGGCCTGCCTTGTAAACCTTCTTGACGAGCAACACCTTCAACACCCGCCATAACTCGAATCACGTTCAACCCCATAATCTTTTTGACATTGTTCTCACTCATTTTACGCGCCAGAAGCTCAGCAATCAAAGCAGGGTAGCAGCTAACATCACCTGCACCGTCAGGACCCTCAAGCATACCGTCAAAGTCGGATCCAATGCCTACATGATCACATCCGACCTCTGAGACGGCGTACATGATGTGATCAACCACGGTGTGCAAAGAGCTGCCTGCACCTGTCGTCGATTTAGATAGCTCGGGGAGAAAACAAATCATGATCAACCCGCGGTTGGCTTTCAACTTTGCAAAAACCTGATCGGTGACATTCCTTGGATGTGGGCAGAGCGTATAACTTGCAAACGCTCAGCACTGTCATTTATTACTCGTGACGAGAACTCTTACCATGAAGAGTGGGAGAATACCACTGGAGCAGTCGAAACTTCCAACACCTGAAGTTGTACAGCCTCGGTCGTATGTGACAGATCTATGATCCTAAAAAGTGAGCAGTCAGTCCACCAACTCTGCTTTAGAAGCATTTTTCATACGTACATGCCGACTCGATTCATTTCTCCAACGAAGCTGCGGCCGCAGGTGCTGAGTCCGCCATGGAGCTGATCCGTATCGTTCTGTTCACTAATTTAGGCCACAACACTAGCATGATGGAGTCCCAATGCTAACCGCCGAGTCTGCAAACCTGTTGTTTTTGTTGTGCACGAGTGTTATGTATCGTACGCCCAGGCGATGGAAATTTCTCAAAACGCTGGCACTGTTCCCGATCTGATGCAAGCCTTCGACACCGATGAAGCTTGCAAGTCGCCCAGACTGAAAGATGGGAAGAATATCTGTGGAACTCCTTGCGAGAGCGAACCTGTCCTCGTACTTGCGCATCAAGTTGTGAATAAGGTCTATCTGTTGCAACGTGTCATAGACTGCCCGTAAATCCGCTTCATTCGGCTGAGGGCTATCCTTTTCACCGTTAGGAACGGCGAAGCTATTGACAAGCTACATATCAGTTCCAGGAGTTCTTTTGAGCTGACGTGATGGATCTGACATGTTGCCATACCACGGTACATAAGCACTCCAAAATTGGCCTCCCAGCTGTCCTTGACGCAGCCTCGTCAAGTCAGTCTGGCCGAAGGGAGTATCCTGCAAAGCTCCATGGTCCAAATTATTCCCAGAAAACCCTCGAATCATGTAGGGAAAGTCATTGTGCCCGTCTGTAGAGAGATGGATTAGCCCTGACAGCGTCTTGTAAGCATGTGCAATTTTGCTGTGGTCAGTTACCAATGAGAGGACTTTCCCGAAGCAGTTGGCGGGCACGGCAAATGAAGGGTTCTCGATCACCCACGGGGTCCTGGCTGGGACGAAGTATGAATTCCATTGAGTGACCTCATGACCTTGACGCTGAACACCAGTGGTCTATGAAAGATAGAGATTTGAGACTGTGCTGCCTAACTCAGTGCCGTCCGCAGCACTCCCGCATAGTGCCAACGGTCCGGTCGGTGGGGACGCACTTATATAATCAGTGTTGCACCTTTGTGGTACGAGCACACCTCCTTTGTCGTTGTTGAATCTGTAAGTTCCGTTGAATTCACTGCCAGCCATCATGGGTGCAGATTCTCTGTCATCCGAACCGCCTGAAACGCCTCGACTACCTGAAGATCTCCAACCAGCATCAAAAGCCGACTACACCCGGCAAGAGAAGGAACTTGAATCTGCATCGCATGGAAAGGACACTACAGATACTCCATCTCAAGATGAGCCATCCAGCACGCCTGGCCGGATCATTGTTCTATTGTTGGGTGTTTCTCTCAGCGTTTTCTTGGTTGCTCTGGTACATGAACCAAAAAACTATGCCGACTTAGTCTCAAGATCCATGCTCATGCTTTGACAGGACAATACCATCCTGTCGACCGCGATTCCCCGAATAGTCGACCAGTTCAAGGCACTTGACCGGGTAAGCTGGTACGGCTCGGCTTACCTATTGACCAATTGCTCCTTTCAACTTGTGTTTGGCGCCATGTACTCCTCATTCTCCATCAAGGGCATCCTCCTGCTCGCCATCTCGATCTTCGAGATTGGCTCTGTCATTTGTGGTAGCGCACAAGGGTCTGTTGCCCTCATAGTTGGTCGTGCTATCGCTGGAGTAGGAGCGGCCGGGATATTCCAGGGCGCATTCATGGTTGTGGCCATAACTGTGGCGCCGCAAAAGCGTCCAATGTGTGAGGATACATACCATCCAGTATTAACAGCTTGATAACTAACCTGGCTTGTTAGACAACGGCATCTTCGGAGCGGTCTATGGAGTTTCTTCCATTGTTGCGCCTTTACTAGGGGGGGCATTTACTCAACATGCCAGTTGGCGTTGGTGGTGAGCTTCGCCCTGTCGAACCCTGCAAATGTAATGACTCTGACGTACCCATAGTTTCTATATCAACCTCCCTATTGGCGCAGTCACCATAGCAACCGTTGTGCTGTACTTGAAAGTCCCAGAGGCTTCTGTCAAGGCGCCTCGTACTTTGGAAGAATGTGCCGGTGCCGTGCGTAAGATGGACCCTCTGGGGTTGCTTCTCTTCCTCCCTAGCATCGTGAGCCTACTATTGGCCCTTATCTGGGGTGGCTCCGAATACGCTTGGTCAAACGGACGCATCATCGCGCTATTTGTACTCTTTGGAGTCTTGATGGGTGCCTTTATTTTCGTCGAAATGCGTGCTGAGGAGCATGCCATCCTTCGCAGACATTTGTTGCGTCAACGCAATGTCTTGTGTGGAGGCCTTTTTGCGTTTCTACTTGCAGCAAGCAATTTCATGATCGGCTACTACATGCCAATGTGGTTTCAGGTTGTGAAGGGGGTGTCGCCGACCAAATCCGGAACAATGAGCTTACCCACTATGATCTCTATGGTGATCACATCTTTCATCTGCGGCGGGGTTGTCAGCCGGACGGGCGAGTACTTGCCCTTCTTCTACCTTTCCAGCATCATCACCTCTGTTGGTGTAGGCCTCATATCGACCTTTCAGATTGACACCCGCCACCCAAAATGGATCGGTTACCAGGTTATCTTCGGCAGCGGGCTCGGCCTTGGAGTTCAGCTTCCTATTACCGTTGCCCAGGTATCGTGTTCCCGTGGTGATATTGCTGCAGCGACGTCCCTCATGGTCTTTTGCCAGATACTCGGAGGGGCGATATTCATTGCTGTTGCTCAAACTGCCATCACACAAAGTCTTCAGCACGGTTTGAGGCAGGCATTGCCAGACTTGGCACTAAGACTACTGAAGAACCCGACCGCGACCCAGCTCGTCTCAGAAGTTGATCCGGAATTGGCTCCAGTGGTTCGACGTGTCTTTAATGACGCATTGAGATCCGAATGGCACATTGCTGTAGGAATGGCGGCCGGGACAATAGTTGCCGTACTGGGCATACAGCGAGTTAAATTCGCAAAGGCGAATCAAAACACAAGTCGAGAAGAGAAATAGGCCTTTAAAAATAATCTAAGGGATGCAGACAGTGACTGGTTATTCAATGAAAGTATTCGCTCGTCTTTGATATCCCCACAGCGTAAGGAAAGAAATCAAGATTAGAAAATTCTCATGTATCTTCCATTCTCTCACACATGAAGTGTGATTAATAGGCCTTTTCTGAATGTCTCCAATTATTTTGGAGGCAAAATGAATTATTAAACTTGCTCATTATCGGCTCCTCAATACATGTTGGCCGAATCAGAGTTTACTCGCTGTCCTCTGACTCTTTGTTTCACTCTTTAGGCTCTCCCCGATCTTCCTCAAAGCGTCCTTTCGGATTTTCCCACTACCAGTCACGGGAAATTGCCCTGTCGCCTCTCCAGGCCCGACCCAGAAGAGGTGTCTAGGGACCTTTTGAGGGGCAAGAATCTGTCGTATCCAAGCTCTGATCTCCTGGATAGAAGGTTTGGGCGTACCTGTAGCCAATTGAATAAATGCGCCAATTTCTTCACCGTACTTGTCATCCTTTATTCCGACCACGGCCGCCTGACTAACGCCCTGCAACTCGAGAAGCCGCTCTTCAATCTCGAGAGGGTAGATGTTTTCGCCTCCTATCAAGATGATGAGCTTTGGTTTATAACTTCGACTGTGGACGTATGACGGACGCGGTACTTACCACGGATGATCATGTCCTTGAGCCGGCCGGTGATGGTACAGTATCCATTCTCATCGAAGAAACCTTCGTCGCCAGTGTGCATCCAGACCTTGCCGTTCTCGTCCGGGATCATAACCTCGGCAGTTTTGACGGGGTTTCTGTAGTACCCCTGCTGTAGCAGATACCCAGAAACAGCAATTTCTCCCCTTGTCCCACGAGGAAGAATCCGGCCGCAATCGTCGACTATCTTCGCCATTGTGTGTGGTAGTACTCGGCCGACCGTCTCGAGGTTCATCTTTAAAGGGTCTGACGGAACTGTCATGAAGCTCGAAGGAGAAGTTTCCGTCATTCCTAGGAATGAATCAGCTTTATTTTTCTAGAGATCCCGATACTTGATAGTGAGGAAAGGGGGGTGGGGGGACCGGGGGTCGGAAATCCCGTCTTAAAGATTTTGGAACAGTTGAAAGAGAAAACGACTTACCATAGCATACAGCAGTATGTCGGAATCCGAGTTTCTGTCTAAGCTGTTCTAGCAAAGTAGGTGGGACTTTTGTGCCGGCCGCAATCCCGTTTCTGACTGCGTTGATCTTGAATCCGTGTTTATCTACGGCCGACATGATGGCATCGAACATGGTCGGCACGCCGTGGAGAATTGTGCAATGCTCTTCGACGAGAGTCCGCGCCACTGCATCGGCGTCAAAGTCACGGCTTGCGTAGACTATAGACGATCCATGGGTGATTGCTGCCAAAAGACCTGCACAAAGCCCAAAGCAATGAAATAGCGGCGGTGGGCAGCAAACGATGTCTTCCGGGACTAGGTGCAAGCAATCGCCTATGAATCGTGCGTTGTTGATCAAATTTCTTTCCCTAGTTAGCCTCTTTGTGCTGCGGTGAGATTGCAAGGATTGCCACTCTAAGAGAGAGATGAGAAAACTCACAAGTGGCTCAACATAACGGCCTTGGGGTCTCCAGTTGTACCGCTGGTGAATTGAAGATTAACAGTATCGTTAGGACCAACTCCTCGCTCAGCATGATTAAGCTCTGCAATTGGAGTCTTTCCTCCTTGTGCCAGAAATGCCTCCCATGACGGAAGTTGCTTTGTTTGTTTGGAGTTTGTGCGGATAGCTATAACGGTTCTGAGACTGAGTCCGGAGTCTTTGGATTTTAGGACCACTTGGATTACGCTGTCTGTTTCTTTATGGTTCACCCAGTCCGAAATGAAGAAAACCTTTGGCTCTGGCGGGGTGCGGGCAAAGTTAGGTATGCAAACAACTCAGAACGCTTTGAAGACTCAGATGATCCAAAAATACCAGTGTGTCTGATTGCCCTCTCGCACTCGAACGGAGTGTATGTCTTGTTTAGAATAACCAATACAGCTCCGATTCTTCCGCAACCGAAAAAAAGCTCGATGAATCTCTCGTCGTCACCGCACAGAATCGCGACATGATCTTTTCTCCTGACTCCCAACGCCAGCAGACTTCGAGCCACAGCTTGCGTTCTTTCTTTCAAAGTAGCGTAGTTGAGTCTAGAATTTGTCCATGGGACGATAACAGCATCATTAGAACCATAGCTATTTGCCTGTTCGTCGATGAGTTGGCCGAAAGTGATTCTAACAAGAGGAGGGTGTGTTGGCCCTTCAACGAGTGATAATGCTGTGGCACCGTCGCCTAAGGGTGTTAGATGTTGCTTTCCGTATTGCTGCATCTCCACCTAAACAATGAAGCCGTCTTCACATGTACTGTTGAGGTATACTCGTGTGTCATCCGATATGTACGTGTCGCTTGTAAGCAGAGTTGCAAGAGGCTCAGCCTCGTTGCGGTACCTCAGGCTTAGTCATCTGCTACACAGTCAACTTCTATCGGTCGGTCCGATCGGCGAGCCTCGGGCCGCATGTTCTTTGGCTCACACTTCGAGCTTAGTACTCGGCACTATAGTGATTTCACCCCTGGCCGCTTCATTCGTCGATCGCTTCGTGGCCGGGGCGCCTCCACTTTACACCTGAAATTTCTTGTAGCAAAGTGAAGCCGGGCAACTTCTGTACGCTCTTGCAGCTGAAATGGTACAACACAAAGCAGGAACTTAGATAAACATAGCCGAATTAGACAGCGAGGATAATATCTGGGATATCCTGAGGAACCTTTGAAGTTTTCTCTTTGGTCAAGGGCGTTGCCAACGCATAATAACCGCAGGAGTGAAAGCTTGCCTCCTGTTAAATTCCATAGTCAGCCATATATTCGGTCCGGGAAAGCCCAACTATTCTGGAACTAGTACATATAGCTCTCCAAGATTAATTTACCAATTGAATCTCATCGTTTACAGAGCTCCATTCTGCAGGCAAGCAAGGAAACATGACAGATATCGCGACTCTCAATAAATATCATTTTGAGTAGGTAAAGTTGTCTCGTCGTTCAGTTCACCATCATGTCCGGATAGGACGTCCACAAGAAATAGTCAGCTGACGTCTTTTCTGCCGTCCAGCAAAGATGCATCTACTCACTTGGCCGATTGGGCTGAGCTAATCCAAGCGATTATCAACGAGTTTATAGCCAGAAGAAAATGGATTTCAGACACATGGACCGATTCTGATGCTGTAAAGCGTCGAGGCATGGAAGTCAGGCTCCTAGACTATGCATGTGGTAGTGGTACTGTTTCCAAGGTAAGCGGATCGCTGTTCATGGCTAAAACGCGGGACGGAAGATTCTCTACGACCCAGGTGGTTTTCATCAAGCTCACAGTATATCTCAGGCACTGCTACCATTTGTAACTCAAGCCATCGGGCTTGATATCTCTCCGGGCATGGTCTTTGAGTACAATAAGTGGGCTGAAGAGACAGGCTCCGGCTCAGACAGGGCCTGGGCGTATGAATATGATATGTTGGCTGGGGAAGAGCGTAGTCCTCTCCCTGGACAGAATCTTTCTGACTTCGACATCGTCGTCGTGAGTATGGCATTGCACCATGTATCGGATCCTGCGAAGCTCATGCAAAGGCTGGGACAATGTCTGCGACCCGGCGGCACATGCGTGATGCTCGATCGCATTCCGGCCTCTACAAAAGTAAAGACGGATGCAACTACATCTACGAAGCTAAGGGAGACTTTAAAAACGGTCAACAAGGAAGGTTTCGCCGAAGAGGAGATGCGAAAGTTGTATGAAGATGCTGGCATGGGCCAAAATTTCGATTACGTAGTGATTCCGCGTCCTTTCGAAGCCCGAGTCTTTGGTAGAGAGCTATCTATCTCCGGATTTATAGCTCGAGGGGAGCTTGCATAGATTAAAATCATTGGTAAGACTAGGACATGCGATTGTGTAGTCTGCGGCGTGCAGATTACTATGATACGGAACATAGACGTAAGAGGCCTCCGAAGTCGTGCATTTCGGACCCTCCGGCTAACCGATGTTCTGGATTGCGCAGGTTAATATGGTCCTGCCTCAGGTGAATCTCTCAATTTCAGGCTCTCATGCAAGATCACCGCGCAGAACTACCGAACAAAACACATACAACTGTCCAGTCAAGCCATGTGTCCGTATTCCCACTTGTTCCTCTACAGCAGATAACAACCCCGTTTCACCGCTCATGGATTCCGGCCACTTCAAGCCTTTTCTACACTTACCATTGGTGAAGGGGTTCCTGAATGAATCCTGTTGGGAGTCTATCAGTGCTCCCGACCCCAGATATGAAGGTCACGACTCACTTTGGTACCATCTTCTAAGTGGAGCTGGCGGCGTGCTGGCGCATTGTTTGCTTTGCTATCGCCCTCAACAATATTCGGGTGAGCTTTGGAGAGAGACAAGACACCTCCTAGTTTTAGGTCCCTCTCTAACGAGCAAGCAAGGCGTATGCCACGGCGGACTTCTAGCTGTGGTTGTGGATGAGGTTGGAATTATGACAATCAGACACTATGGGTTGGACGGCGGGATGGATCCATCAACTGCTTTTTTGAACGTTACATATAAAAACCCTGTCGCAGCGCCTGGAATTATAATAGCAGTAGTCAAGGTGTCAGAGACTCTCGGACGGAAGATTAACCTTTCGACAACTATTATGGATGGTGATGGCCGAGTGTGTGTAACAGCAGAGATGTTGGTAGTAACTTCAAGACCACGACTTTGAAGATTTTGTCCTCCTTCGGTCTATCCTGTCTCCTGAGCCTTTGTTCGAGACTTCGGTCCGCAACCATTTTAAAAATCGGCTGAGACCTCGCTTTGCTGCGGGGGTTGGACTTGCAGACCACGGAGTAGATCTATACGCGCCCGCACGATGAGTTGCCCTCTCCCACGGTTGAATTGTATCTCGCTAGAGCTGTTTGGTTCAGTGGCTCTTGTCAAACTCATACGACCTCAAAATGGAAACTCTTTGAATCACGAAACTTTCCAAGTATGATGCTATCCTATCATGCACTGTTTACATCTCTACCTACACCTCTTTGCACCGACACTGATACGATTGCCTCAGGATATGCTGACTGCGACGCGCTGGGCTATTGACAACCCGAATGTGCGCATTCTCATTCAGACAGGCGAAGGCAAATATTTCACTACAGGTACTAGTTGCTCTGGAGCTCAGGTAGGCCAGTCTAGCTCATCCTAGACGTAGGCTTAGATCTTCTGGACGCAAACTCCCAAAGCTATGATAGTATCCTTCCGGAAGCGACGATACAAGTGCTCGAGTACGTCATCCCAGTTGCCCAGCTCTGTATTGAATGGGCATCCTGTGTAATCAAGTTACTGACAGTGAGACTCTGTGACAAAGTGCATACCACAAACTCCTCATCTCAACTGATAAAATCCTCATTGCAGCAGTCAACGGACCCGGCGTGGGGTACGGGTTGACGAGCATCGCGTTGTTCGACCTCGTGTACTCGGTGCCAGAGGCCTATTTCTTTGTGCCATTTGTAAAATGGGGTTTGTGTGCTGAAGCTTGCTCGAGTTTCACACTTCCTTACGTCCTCGGACGTCAGCGAGCGTCTAAGTTGCTGTTGGCGCAAGACAGAATCAGCGCAGAAGAGCTCCGAGGTGCTGGGTTGATCTCAGAACTCGTCAATGGTCACGAACTAATGTCGGTGGTGATGGATACCGCCTCAAGGCTAGTGGAGTTACCCCCTGACAGTCTGATTGTCAACAAAAGATTGATGATGCTCCCACATCGTGAAAGACTCTTGCAGGCAAACACAGCAGAATTGAAGGCTTTACGAGAAAGGGTGAGAAGCCATGAGGCAAAGTCTGCTATCAAAGGTTTTATCAAGGCACAGCGAAATCAGAACAGCGTACAATCCAAGCTCTGACCGATGACAATGAACATTCATCATTCATAGTACCAACGGGTTGAGTATCTCCTACGTAATGTTATATTCATGGCATTGCTCGACACTATCTTCACATTCCCACTTTGCTTCTATCTATACCTTCATTCCACATCCGTCTCAACCAAAAGACTTCCTCCGCAACAAGAAGCTTGCCTCAGGAGGGACAGAAGTCGTGTTTATCGTATTCAACACTCGAAAGCTACCATCTTTGACCTTGATGTCGAACCTGGAAAAGAACAAGTATGTTAGGATTTTGATCTCGTGGATGGCTAGCTGTCGGCCTGGGCACGCCCATCTTCCCAGGCCAAATGTCAGGAACTCGGCATTGCCTTGTATCGCCGGACGCTGTTTCTTCTGCCACTGGAAGCCGTCGAATGTGGTGCCTGCTGACCCATAGTTGTCCGGGTGTTGATGCGCTCGAGCTATGAGAACAAGACACATTGCGTTCTTAGGAAGGACATATGGCCCAACACGGACGGGCCTCGTCGTTTGTCTCACAGGGCCCCAAGTATCGCCCTTTGTCCGCAGAACTTCACGGATGAAAGAGTCGAGGAGAACAAGCTCGTTTAACTTCTTCACGCTCAACTTTTGGTCAGGAGCTGCAGAGTTCCATTCCTCCTGAATTGCCGGTAGATATTCATCCTGCTTTTCTGCCAGCTTGATCAGGACCCAGAACCCGGCAACCACGGTCTGATGAACTGAAGCAAATATCAGGCCCACACAAAGGACGACCGACCATCCAAAACCTGCTAGTGCTCGAATCCCTGTTTTATCGTGGTAGTGTTTCACAAGAAGAGTATCCAGTAGCGGCACGAATTGGCCAGGATGGGCAGCAAGGCCATTTTCCAAGTGGTTTTTGCGGTTTCGCCATATCGTAGGGACAATAGCGAAGAAGAATTGAGGCACGATGGTGAAGAATACGGCGCTGAGGCCGTTTAGTAGCACCCATAATGATGGGGCCCATGGCCATTCGTGCGTGTTCTCGTGCATACCAGTCATACTGGCCATAGCCACAGCTACATCGGCAAACCGGGTACCTGTGGTAGTAGATGAATATTCATTCCCAAGGATCATGACCACCATAGCCTGCGCCACGGCCAGCTGAACCCGTCGGAAGATGTCTGGAAATTCAACCATGGCCTTTTCGCTGCCGTCCACTTCGTCCGCCAATCGATTGAAATATGACTGGAAGACAGGGAAGACTTGCTCGACAATGGGGGCCATTCGGGTTTGCACACTTGTTTCGACTATCCCGTCGACATCGTGGACAAACGCACCATTGTCAAAGAGGGCGATAAACCCCAGGTGTAGCAGGTCGAACACTGCCTTTTCAAAGGTAAAGTTCTTGGAGTCGGTGAGAACCTCATATGCGAATCGATGATCAATGACGTATTCGTTGCGGCCATGTCGAGGGACAATTACCACAGGACCATTCTCATTTAACGCTTGGTTGTAGGCTTCGTTGACCTTGTCAGACTGTCGTACCTCGCGCGGGATGTGAACGATCGGGGGCGAGGGACCCTCGAGAGGGTGCACATCCAGTGGAATCTCGCCTTTCCCCATGTTAGTGACAGCGATGATATAGCAAGCACCCAACGTCAAATTCACTCGGCTGGGATACGAACGAGAGGCGTTATGACTTTTCGTTGTGGCTTTACTAGCTCACATAGTTCAACGATATCTTGCTTATGAAGAGACCGGACCGACCCACTGCAGGGCTCGATATGCTCGGTATCGGACCTCACGAAATATCCAGTGTCCTCTCTTACCTGTGTCAAGGTACAGTCTGGTGTCCTGCACGCTCACTAAAATCGACGGAAAGGTGGCTCACGGAACCTCGCAAGACCCCTAGTCTTCCAGAAAGCAAAATAACACCGAACGGACCGTGCAGCTCGCTCGCGACACAGGTGATCATCGACTTTCTTATTGCTGACAAGTTTGGGAGAACATGTGCAGCAGGACACGGTTGACAATGGTTGTGGGGGCAGTCTCGGCGCCATAGCGCGCCACCCAAAAGTCTCCGTCCAGCCTCCCCGTCCTCGTAATGTTGCGAACGCTCACCTGACGGTCAAATCATAGTCTCCGTACACAACAATGATTCTAACCCCGAGCAGCTCGCCCAAAGAATGATGCAATACTGTTTGATTTGTCTTCGCAACGTACGTATGTTGATGAATATTCTAGATCGCAACTGGAGAATTCAGTAAGTTTGTAGTTGGTTCAGAAGTGTCGGAGACTTTTTCGGAGGAGAGATACATCAATCTTTCTGCTCTGCCAAGGTGAGGACAAGATGAGCATGTTCCCTCGGTCAGTGTGAAACGGAATACACTATATAGGAGACGCTCGTCTATCGCACTTTTGGCGGACTTTTCGTCTGGATTCAGTCTCATCAAACAACCTCGCAATTGCTTTCTATTTCCGATTCCTATAAGCGGTTTCTTCCACCAACAATGAAGACTGCTATATATGACGCTTTAATCATTGGTGCTGGCCCTGCTGGCCTTTCTACCGCCCTGGGATTGTCCAGAGTTCACCGCACCAAGGTCGTCTTCACTCGGCCGCAGAATGCAGGCTTCAGAAACGAGGGTGCACATGAGATTCACAATGTGTTGACCAGGGATTGCACTCCGCCTGGGGAGTTTCGCCGAATCGCCAGAGAACAAATTGAGAGGTACGGTACTACGGAGTTCATCGAAGCAGATATTACTACGCTCAAGAAGGTCGAACCGACAATTACAGAAGGGAGGACTCCTTCTCCAAGCTATTTCGAAGCTACTGATGGCGAGGGACGGAGTTGGCGTGGAAGAAAACTTGTCCTGGCTACAGGTTCCGTCGAAGTCCTGCCAACAGATATTCCTGGATACAAGGAAAACTGGCCACAAAATATGTTCGTCCTTCCTGGGGTCATTCTCCTTGCATAGGTGCACGCCTGCTAATATCAGGTTTTAGATTTCAGTGTTTATTCTGTGACGGTCACGAACGTTCCCACTTGCCAGTCGGCATCATAGGACTGTCTCCATTCCTTGCCCATGCGGCCCAGATGGTAGTTTTCCTAGTTACCGAGTCGTCTGGACCACCGATTATATTCAGTAACGGCCTAATCCCAGACACCGAGCCTATGCAGAAGACCCTGGAAACTGTTCGCGCTCTAGGTTTCAAGATCGAGAGTCGCAGGATTGCACGACTTGTGCCTGAGCAAGCGCCGAATATCGGAGTCAACGTCGTGTTCGAAGATGGAAATAGCACTCACGTCGGTTACTTGACTGACAGACCGATAACCGCATTGTCCAGTAGACACCTGATTGACCAACTTGGACTGGAGGTCGAAGTCCATCCTGTCATGGGAGAGATCATTAAGGGTGTCGAGCTTGGGGGTGTCACTACGGTGCCAGGAGTGTTTATTGCTGGCGATGCTGCAACAGCGCTCAAGGCAGCCACGAACGCAGTCAGCTCAGGTACGTCGTCTTATCTCCATAACCGAGCTGATATCTGTTTGAATGCAGCCTCCGTACACCTTCGTTCTTGTCTCTAACTGATATCTTCTCTGAATAGGCTCGAATGTTGCAGCCGTCATGACCCAGCAATTGGCCGCAGAGAATCTGCAGGAGATCCTCGCATCCCGTCAAGGTTTGTGTTAGTTGATGTATGAGACAACATAGACTCTTAAAAGTGTCTTTTCGTGATTGTTTAGGGTGTTCGAGAGGCAGTAAGCTCTCCATCTGTCCATTATCTACTCCTGCAAAGTTTATAGCCTTGTCAACCACTTGTAGCTGCCTCGTCTACGACCTTAGATCTGCCGAGGTGCAGAGGCTCATTTCGTCTTTGACGCTGGTCCTAAAATTTCTTTGATAGAATGAATTACTGCCATACAGTCTCTATACTTCAATACTTTGATTCATCATTGCGATTCTCTGCTTCTACTATCTAACTGGTCGAGACAGGTATAAACTTGAGAAAAGGTCCGTTTTTCTCTCCTGCTGCGAAGTGATCCTTGACGTGAAACTCGAGAGGCAGGGGATCGCGAGATTTAATCTCAAACGAGTACGCCAGCCGAGCAACGGTCAAGTAGATGGAGTGGTAAGCCATATTTTTACCAATGCATCCACGGGTACCTGTGCTGAATGGGTACCAACACGACCGTAATTTCTGAATCTGTTCCTCAGAATCAACCATCCAGCGCTCTGGTTTGAAGATCTGGGGGTCGGGGTAGACGTCGGGGTCGCGATGAACTGTCCAAGTTGGGACCCCGACTTGAGCAGCGGGTGGCATGTAGTATCCGTCGATGGTGCCTCCCTCAGGTGCTTCCCTTGTCAGATAGCCAGGGACACCGGGAGACATTCGAAGCGCTTCATCGACACAGGCTCGCATGTACTTACACTCTAGCAATTTTTTCCCGCCGAGAATATCGTCGACAGAGGAGAAGGTGGTTCGAATTTCTTGCTTGAGTTTGTTGTAGCACTCCGGGTAGCGAGCTAGGTAGAAATAAAGGCCCGAGAGAGCTGTTCCGGTTGTATCGCTGGCTGACCGGAGTTAGACCCTCCGCATTGTCCTTTAAGATATAGCTTACTTACCAGCAATGATGAGAACCACAGCCTCGTCAGAGAGTTCCTTGAATCCCATGCTCTCCCCAGTTTCCTTGTCCTTATGATTGAGGAGGAGCTTAAAAATATCAGCCGGGCCATTACCCGACTTCTCCTGTTTTATGCGATAAGATACTTGCTTGTCGACATAGGAGCGAAATCTCTTGTTGTCCGACATGATTTTTAAGAACAAAAGAGGGGCCAACCCCCAATGTTCGATCTTGGGATATGTTCCCAACTGAAGGACCCCTTCTTTAGCGTCTAAAAGCGGTCTCGAGAAAGGCCTGAACTTACAATGACCTGGCTATGCTGATAAGCATCAATCAAGGGCTGGATGAAATGGTGGTCGTCTTTAGTGAGCATATCATAACTCTGGCTGAAGGTGAGCGTTCCCATGATGTCGTAGGTGAGATAGGAAAACCACCGAGACATATTTTTGTATTCACCACCAAATGTATTGGCATCGGGCAGTTGCTTACAAAATAGCCGGATCTTGTCTAATATGACGGGTTCGTAAGACCTGATGGCAGACTCGCTCATAGCATACGAGATGATTCTTCGCTTGCGAGCGTGAACGACTTTGTCAGTCGTGCTGGCCAGATTCTTTGTTCAGGCTTTAGTGACTATATTTCCATCTTTGAGAAACACCACTTACGACGAGGAGCTGCTTTTCCTTGGGTCCTCGAGTGTAGAACATGGCCTGGTTGAGACGTTAGGGGTAGTCCAATCGTCATTCTCATTCACATACCTTTTCGAAGCGAGTTCCTGGACCGTACATTGCTGGAGACAGTCAGCAATCCTGAATCATCACCTTTTCGATACAGATGTTACGGACTTTTAATTGCATTCGGAGTGCATATCGAGACCAGATTCGGTTCTACCCGAACAACTTTGCCTTGTTCTGGTCAGTGGTAGTTCAGACTCGGGAAACAAGTTCAAAGTAGAAGCAGAAAGTACCATATCTTTTGTGCAGTTTGTCGATGGCGAGATGCCTGTCGCCTGTCCATGCCCAGTAAAGACTGGGCAAGATGCTGATACGCCAAAGCAATGGCCCCTGATACTGCGACAGAGGGTGAAAGTAAAGACGATAAACGACCGAACAAAGACACTGCCAGTGAAGAGAATCAAGGTCAATGCCTTGATGCTTTCGTAGATATTAAGGCTTCCTCACCCAGATCACAAAGGCTATCGAAGTTGCAGCTGCAACTACTGGAAGACTAGCTACATCTTCAGGCTTTCGTGTTAGCTGCACTATTTGGCCACTGATTTCCCTGGCAATGGAGATCTCTTTATCTGACATTATTGGCGGCGACTTGAGCTGTCTGACTTCCTATATTGGCTGAAGATACTTGAAAGAGGAGGCACCTATGTAAGGATAACCATCTAGACAGTCGCTAATCTTACAATTAAGCCCTTCCGGAATACACGAGCCGGGAGGAACTCACTGACAAAACATCGGAAACCGACAGTCTGTGCTCGATGAGGGGACGAGCTCAGTCGGTGCCCATTCTGCGGTCCGATATTGAAATCCAATGGCATATCTACCTATGGATCACTGTGGGGCGGATGGCCCCAGGTTCGGCCGTCGGCACATGTACTTGGACCGTCAAGAGAGCAACGTGGGCATGCATTCGCGCTTCTCTTCGCCGGAAAAGAAGCCCTTGACAAGCCTTTATGGGCTGAGAGCAGACCGCCAAGTGACGGAAGTCCAGAGTCCGTCAAGACCCTTGATTTTGCAGGTGTATGCTTAGCATACTACGCAGACCGCCACCGGGATACCCCCCACGAAGGTGGACAAGCTAGTAGGAGGCCGCATGCTGACTCAACGGCAGCAAGGCAAAGGTGGGTTAAATTCCAGATGGCAACAACACTGGAAAGCCGCAGAACATGAAGCAGAAGTGAAACCTCCAGAACACCGATGGAGACTACGAGCACGATTTGATCGAGAATGAGCCGCAATGCGTGGTTCTGTAAAGCAGTTATCATTGACTTCATATCATAAACAAGAAACTATCTTCTAGGAAGGCAGTCCATACACGGGTTGTTTGCCATCCCACCGTAACCAAAGCACCCGCTCATATACTGACAAGGAAATATCACCACGATAATGAGGGAAAGTATATACCAAAGCCGTCAAGCCATGCCCTCTTCCGTTTTTAACGATATAGTTGCTTCACCTATTACCGTATCTTGAGGCGAGAAACCCTGCATTATTCAACCTCATAACTAGTTATCCGCTTTAGCCATCTATACTTAACTAACCTTGACATCTAGGGCAAGTTAGGGTGCTTCCTCTGTCCTCTTTTTCATAGGACTCTTCTAGGGACTGGTGAGCTTCCATGGTGGTCTAGCTCACACATTCTTAAGGGGCTATCTATCTGCCTTTACTGCTGATACCCAGTACTTTAGCCTTTTATATACCCCGCCGTCAAACTTCTCCTTGCATGTGCGCAGGCTTCCCCCCCCTTAACTTTCTTAAATCCTAACTACCGAAGGTCTTCTCATAATGTATTACACTTAGTAAACGTTAGTAAAGTAGTAATAAGACTATTATAAAGGTCTAGATAGATAGTAAGATACTGTGTTATTTCCCACTTAACCTCACTAATATATAAAGCTACTAGGTATAACGGCCTTAGAGATAAAAAATGTGTATATAGATAACTATAGGTCTCATTAGCCTTAAGAATGGGAACGATATAAGATAAGGTCAGAAAATCCAGAAGACTTCTTTAGTGACATTAATAACCTCCTTATACTAAACATAATATGGCTAAGGCACATATATTTAGGACATAAAATCTAATAGCTACTTTTTATCTAGAGTACCATATAGTTTAATGAACCATATAGAGTAATGAACCACAAAACTCTATCTAGTTACGTTTAATTATCACTCCTATTAATCATGGGTTACTAACGCACTTCTAAAGTAGCTAATCTTAAAGAGTGAGTTTAGAAGACTATCCTAGCACATCGAAATTAAGAATATAAGTCTGTTCGCGCTACTACCGCCACTTTTAATATGTTATATTAAACCTTATTATATTAGCTTACTAAAGGATTTTTACGCGCTTAAGCTATAGAAATAGTTTAAATCCTTTTAAACGCAGAAAAAAAGACGCTTATATAATGAGTCTTATAATATATATACACTAAATTACTTATTATATTAATGTTATTAATTAAGCTAGCTAAATTAATTCGCTATAAATATATTTAATATATATTATAAAATTTAGTCTTCACTAAAATTATTACTTTAATTAATTATAAATAACTTTATTACTTTCTTAATTATTACTTAACTATTTAAAGTATTTATATAAAGTAATTTAAGGCTATATAATTTAATAATACATTATATAATAAGATTAAAGTATAGTTTAATATAGTTATTACTAAATTCTAAGAGCGCGCCTATAATAATTTTAATATTTAGAATATAAATAAATTTAGTTTTAGAGTTAAAGAGAGTTAAATAATAAAGGTCTTAATTTCTCTTAACTATTAATAATAATATAAGATCATAATAGGGAAATAAAAGTAAGTAATTATAATTAAATATATTAATATAGCTAAAGACGCACTTTCATTAATAATTATCTTTAAGGGTTAAAACATTAATTTTAAATAGTTACTAGCTTAAATACTCTTTAATTAGTATTTTATAATTAGTAAAAATAGTTAAACATTAAATAAGCTTAGTTTATAATAGTTAATTAAGGTATTTAAGTCTTAAACTTATAAAAAAGTAATAAGTTAGTCCTAATTATTAATCGTTAATAACTATAAAAGTTATATTAAAGCTAATTTTATTACTTATTATATAAAGAATAATATTAACTTACTAATTATGTTATTATATTACTTCTATATTCTTTAGTCATTTAATATAGAAGTATTTTTAGCGTTTAAGTGCGCTCACTTAAATAAAATTAATATAACTTTATAGCTTAGTATATAATATATTTCGTGTTTAGAATAGCTTAAAATATTTATTCATGTATATATAAAGGCTATTAAGCTAAATAATATTCTTATAAGATAGTGAGATACTAAATTAATACTAAATAATCTATAGAAAGTACTAAATTATCTTTTATAAAATATAATTATATATATTTTATATTTAATTACACTATTAAAGAGATATAATCTTAACTTCTCTTTACTATATTACTCTTCCCTAAATAGTATAAAACTTTAAGAATTTAATATACTCTTAAATATAGTGTTAATATAAATATTTAGATTTATATTACTTATTAAGTAATATATAGCCTAAGTAATTTATATAATAAAAACGCTTATCACTAAGAATACACTTCTTTAGTAATAAAATTAAGAGTAAAGTCAGTTACTTAAGGTATAAAAAAGTTATAAGTAAGGTAAAAGAGTTAGGTTAAAAGGCGAATTTATGTACTCTATAGAGAAAGTGTTAAAGGTTACTTAGGAGATAGAAGTAAAGTAGTTAATAAAACGGTAATAAGGTTTATTATACTAGTAACTTATTATTAAAATCGAGTCTAAGGAGGAAGATAAAGTATTTAACTACTTATTAATATCTTTAGATAATAGAATAGTTATATTAGTACTATATTAAAGATATTAGAAGGTAATTAGGTAGGTTTTTATAGTTTATTACTCTATATAGTTTATTAAACTATATAGTACTTTACTACCTTTTATCACGAAAATAATCTGTCTAGTTAATTAATTTATTCCTTAGTAGTATTTATAGCTTATATAGTTTATTAACCTTAATTAGTTTTAACTTCTAAACTTCTTAAAGGTAATAAATAATATCTCCTAAAGTTATAGTATTATTTACTAGATTTAGTGAAGTAAACAAAGTTATTAATATTATAGTATATACTAATATAGGTCTTAAGCTTATAAGGTTAGCTAACTTATTCTTACTCTTACTCTAAGATTTAGAAGATAACCCTTACTTTTCTAGTTTAGTAGAAGAATTATTATCGCGCTTTACCAATGTTAAAATGCGACTTTAAGGTTAAGATCATAATCGCGATCTCTTATTATCTTTCCCATTATCTTCCTTATTCGTTTACCACTTAATGTCTTTTTTAGTGATACTTTAATAGATAACTAGACTTTAGGTACTTCTGTACTAATAGTGTCTATTAAGGAACTTCTGCTAATTCTGTCACTTTTCATTAGGCCTACTTTAACGTCAGGCTTTAAACTACGCATGTTCTTACCTATGTTTAGTGATATATTGGGTGAGTCTAAGACCTTTTTAAACGCTGTGTCAATTTCTTAAGGGCTTAGTGAAGGTATACTTTCTATTGGGGTTCTAGCTACTTTGCGCTCACTATAACGAGCTTTCGAATTAAAGCTCTAAATAGCCTTAATTACTAGTGAGCCTCTTTATACTTTCGTATCTACCTAAGATAACTTTAATAAGTGAGTTAAAAGAATGGGATAGTTCACTAGAACAGAAGATAAACTTAATTAACTATTAGTTAGATCCTAACTCTTTAGTCTCTTTAGCTCTATCTATAGCTTATTATTAAGATTTTTAGTGAAGATAGAACTTCTACTAAACTTATAATCTAAAAAAGGATAAATTAAAGGCTTATGGTTCAGAGATAAAGGTATAACTAGACTATAGCTATAGAAGTTTCTCTACTCTAATGGTCGAAATTCAAGTAGTCTCGGGATATGTACAGTTTTATTTTATTCTTAACAGTCCTTCTTAAGAATCCTAGCTAAAGTATTATGCTATCTAGGTTACTAACTAGTTATATTATAAACTGAGCCCAGATTAGAGTCTTAATAACAGGTTATAAGGGTGATATGTTATTTTCTTAATTATAGTCTTCTTCTTTAAGATCTTTCTTTAACCTCCTCTTAAGTAAATCTAAAAGGTTAGCCGCTAATTTAATTATTTTCGGTTTCTTCTTTATTACTTATTCTTTGGTGGCTAAGACACTACTATACTCTATGCTCTTCTCTTTTCCTAGTATTAAACCTTTTAAAGAGACTAAGCTCCCTGTTTTCTTGTGGTAGGCCGTCAAGAGGAGACACCCTTATTGTTAGTCTTCGTAGGGATTCTTTTTGGTTAGGAAGAGCTATTAATGTGCTGTTCTCCTAGAGGGCTTGCAGTATAGATAGGCTTATAAGGGGAGAATATGTGGGCTTTTATAGAACTGTAGTTCTCTTTTTGACGGCCTCTCAGGACATTGCCGACAGATGGTGCTCGATTGCGGTTGAGTCTGCGTCCTCTCTGCTGAGGCTCGTTTTCGGCGTCCTCGAAAATCTGGGCAACCTGATGAACGGTTGGTGCTATGTTGAATAAAAGAAGATATGTTGGCGCACGGGGCCTGATCAGATATAGTCTACCATTGGTACGAGGTTTGGTTGTTCAGAAGCATAGACGATATAATGATCATGACTACGAACGGTCGGCTTCTGGCTTGTTTACCTGGCGTCAGTCACGTCCGGCGCCCCAGCAACCAGCAATTTCTTGGCGGTATCAAGGCCTCTATAGTCCAGAGTATACGTAGGTGGGTGGACATTGTATGCTTCACCGGAGCATAATGGCATTCCGACTTGCTCACGTTTCATGCTTTTCACGGGCTACTACCAGCGCATAGAATTCCCAAGACCTTTTCACTCTCTAGTCACTTAGTAGGCTGGTAAATCGATGATAAGCCCCTGGAGCGCCTGCTGCACCCGGCGTACCCCCAGAGCCTCTGGGGACTCTCGTCCTATCTCAGTTATGCACCATTTCAGTGCAAAGTCAGAGATATTGCGTCCTTGGTGTAGCGAATCATTCCGGCTGAACAGTATGAGGACACAGGTACGATGCCTTCTATGTAATGATATTCCTACTGTCGCCCACTCGGCAACATGCTCCCACTGCATGGCCCTGCTTAAGACTAGCGCAGTCTTCGACACACCTAGTCCCTCGACTTTATTGCTTCCATCAACGAAACTTCAGGGTTTGAGATCTGATACCTACGGTGTATTTGTAGGTACTTACCAGAATTCGTACTTCCCACTCCCTACCCAGGCACTCGTGACCTTTCCTGGCTACTCGTACTTCGATTGATGAACTTCCAGGCACAGAGGCGAACCGTGTGCAGATGCCGGATTGTCGGGGTGATCGAGGGCTATCACGGCCGCAGTATGAGTCCTGCTAGTGCATATTTCTCTATCGGACCGGAGGAGGAAGACTGACATCCTGGAGACTTTCATCCCGAGGCAGTACCTCCTGGTCTTGGACTTTGTAGGCTAGGTCACGGGGGCTGCGGGCCGGCAAAAGATGTAGCCGGGCCGGCATTTGGTGGCCCTCGAATGCGCAGGAGGATCTCCCACGCATACTAAACGCTCCGATTTTAGCAGCACACGAGACTCAATAGTAATACCAACCATGATCGTCACACTAGAGTCGCAGATGCTGACTCTGGTGGCAGAGCGCCTTGGTGTGCAACCCGCATCTCTCGATCTCAACCAAAGCTTTACCAAGGCTGGCGGGAATTCACTCTCTGCACTCGTATTATCTCATGCATGCAAAGATGCTGGGATCAAGATCTCAGTCAGAGACATTCTCCAGGCACCATCGCTGGAGCATCTCATACAACTAGCCGCATCCCGTACAAGCAATGGCACTCCTGGACCTGCCAATAATGTCCATCTTCAAACACCAGAAGGTATCCTCTGCGAGCACTATCCTGCCACAGAGATGCAAATGTCACTCATACGTGGCTCATATGAGAAATCTCATTGGAATATCATCTACCACCGGCAGGACTGCAGCGCGGCCGACCTCCCCAGGCTGAAGAAGGCCTGGCAGACTGTCATCGGACGCGAGGAGATGTTCCACGCCGATTTGCAACTCCGCAGAGAATCCTCTTTCTGGGTTCGAACATGTCGACCATTTTCCTGGGCCGATGTATTGGTCCAAAGCCATTTTGACATTGAGAAGGAAATTCTGAAACCACCTGTTTTCACCGGTATTGGCTATGCATTCAAAGCAATCAGCACCAAGCAACCGAGTGACGGCTTTAATGATGCTTGTGTGTTGTTCCAGGTTCACCATGCTCTGTTAGATGGGTACTCAATGGAACAGCTTCTGCACAAGGTGGCCCAGGCTATGACGGGCCTGACGCCCGCACCCAGTTCATCAATATTGGATTTCCTTGCTCGAAGAGAAGCTTATGTTCTAGAGCACCAGAGCGAAGCGGTGCAATATTGGAAGAGTCAAAAGGATATCATATTGAAATCCGCGACCCAATTGGCTCTTGCGCTGCCAGAGCAGCTAGACAAGATTTCCGGACCAGAAAGCTTTTTCGTAAACGAAATCTACACCCTCAGTCTAGGACATACAAAAGAACAGATAGCTGCATTTGTTCAGAAGCATAACATCACCGAAGCCGCTCTCTACCAAGGGGCATGGGGTTTGGCCATGTCGCTACTCACAGATTCAGATTTTGTGGCGTTTGGAGTTGCTATGTCTGGGAGAGCGATTCCGATTCCTGGCGCCCTGGACGTAATCGGAAGCCTTGCAACAATGATTCCTCTATTCATGGAGGTCAACCAAGATCTAACAAGCATCGAGTATCTACGATACATTCTTCTGAGAATAGCAGAACTGGCATCGGTGGAATGGGCTCTACCGGAAGGTTGCTATGACCGACATGTCTCTTCGATCCTTGCTCTACAATTTAATCAGGATATACCGGGAATTCCCAAGCGCGATGCTACCGTCTGGAAATCCAGAATGAATACCGAAATTCCCATCAGCATCACAATCGAGAACGAAGGCATGGTGAACTTCCAGTATTTGCCAAAGTACTATTCTCGCGACACGATCGAGCTTATAAGTGTCATCTTTCAGAGAATGCTTGCATCTCTACTCAAGCCAACTCACACTGTTGCAATGTGTCTCCTGGAGGCAGTCAGCCTAGAGGAACAATCATTTCTGCGAAGGGTTGGGAATTGCGGCTCGTCTCTATCCACCTATGCATCAGTTCAAGATAGCCTGGTTTCGCTTTTCCGTCGAACAGCAGCACGATATCCGCAAGCTACAGCAGCTCAGAGAGCAGACAAGTCCATCACATACAGAGAACTTGACCTCGCCAGTGATCGTGTAAGCTTGGAGCTCTCGGGGGTGGTCCAGCCTGGAGACGTCGTGTGTCTCTACGCGGACCAGTCTGTGGCGTGGCTTAAGGGGATCTACGGAGTTCTCAAATGTGGAGCCACGTACTGCCCAATGAATCCAAACCTGTCGGCTTCATTACTAGAGTCCAATTTCCAGACCTCGGGTGCCCAGGTCTTTCTTGTACCGTCGCAAAAGCAAAAAGGGTTGACTCTAGCAGGATGCTCATATTACTTTGCGGTCGATGAACTCTTGTCTCGAAGTAAAGAGCAAGGCTCGGCCGGTACATTGGAAAGACACATCGACCCGGGCAGTGGCGCTTATCTTTGTTTTACTTCTGGGTCAACTGGCATACCGAAGGGCGTTCTGTGCACCCACCGAGGGCTGGTGGCCTTCCAACGGGATCTCGAGGTGCGTTTGTTTGCCCGGCCAGGCTGGAAAATTGCGCAGACCATGTCTGTTTCATTCGATGGCAGTATCCATGAAATCTTCTCCGCCCTGTCCTACGGTGCTACTCTTTTGTTGCCTGGGGATTGTGACCCGTTCGGGCACCTGGCAGAAGCTGATGCAGCCATTTTTACCCCGTCTGTCGCAAAGGTTCTCAGACCTGGCGATTGCAATAGTCTGAAGACGGTAGGTCTCAACTCTCCAGTCAGAAGAACTTATCGCTCAAGAGTCTCAGGTATATCTTGTAGGTGAAAGGGTCACACAAGAAGTATGTGATCGTTGGGCCAGCGAAAAAGCCCTCTACAACATGTACGGTCCTACGGAGGCTACATGTGGAGCAACCATCAAACGCCTCCAACCGCATACAAAGGTAACAATCGGCAGCCCCAACTCCTCGACGCGAGTCTATATCCTCGATAGACACCGCCGACTCACGGTGCCTGGATGGATCGGCGAAGTGTGTCTAGCTGGAGTGCAGGTTTCCAAGGGCTACATTGGCCTACCAGAAGCCACTCAGGAGAAGTTCATTACAGATCCTGTTTGTACAGGGCTCGGCGAGTATGTCTATTGTACAGGTGATCTTGGCTACTGGACGAAGTCCGGAGAAGTTGTTTTACTTGGTAGAACAGATCGACAAATCAAGCTCAGGGGGTTCCGGGTTGATATGGATGATGTGGAAGTCCGAATTGCTGGCCTCCCACAAGTCTCAGCCGCCGCCGTGGCGCAGAAGGACGATTACCTGATTGTGATGGTGCAACCAAAGACTGTCTCGATACCAAAACTAAGGAGCTTGATGGCTGAAATTCTTCCTACTCATGCAATTCCCCGCTTTGCCGTAGCGGTAGAATCATTCCCTCTTACAAAGGCGGGGAAGCTCGACTATACAAAGATTCACGACGTGGACCGCTGCTCGGCCGATACTGCGTGCAACAGTATGAATGATATGGAGTTGAAGGTTGCTGAAGTATGGCGAGAAATACTGGAGCTTAAGCATTCGGCCAAACTGGACCCAGAATCACAATTTTCCTCTCTGGGTGGTCATTCACTTCGCCAACTACGATTAGCCACCGGATTATCGCAGACATTCTCTTGCAGATTCCCTCTGAGTCTGGTGATCAAAAATCAGAAGCTATGCGAACAAGCGAGGCTGATCCCAACGCTCGACAAAGTTCCCTCTGAACCGGAGCACATTGCTGAGACCTCGTCTAACCCTCCTGAATCACTATCTCCAGTCGAAGTATGGTGGACAGATCACTACAATAGGGCAGCATGTACCACCAGCTTCAATGTGTCCTTTGCTTGTGAACTTCCTCCAGAGATCGACAGTTGTCGTCTCGTGAGTAGTTGGAACACAGTCCTGATTAGGCACAGTATTCTCCGCTCAAGGTACACGCAATATTCAGCAAGCCGAAATATCATGCGATCATGGAATAGCACACATCCGCAAGCGCAGTATATGGGATGCATAGATGTGGCGTCCGAGATTAATCGGCCGTTTGACATCGAGCGTGATCACCTCATTCGAGTGCTGATTTCCCCGTCACACATGCTGGTGGTGGCCAGTCATATCATATGCGATCTGATTGCTATGCGGATTCTCCTTGAGGAAGTTGGCGGCACGTACAACGGCCATCCTCCCCTGCACTGTAGTCTCCCTTACCCAGGAGGTAAGCTGGCAGAGACACTAATCTCTCCCGACGATGAGGCTTTCTGGGTCAATTCTCTGAGAGGATCTCCAGAAAGCCTCGGGCGAAGATGCTTCACAACCACCAAGAACAGTCGTAATCGCAACACAGGATCCTCAATCATTATGAAGCTACCAATGGACACAGTACATGCGACCAATACTGTCCTCCGAGATAGCAGCAGCAGCATCACAAAGCATCAGTTCGCCATCGCTGCAGTTGCGATAGCATTGCAGCATGCTGAGCCGTCGATTGATATCACTGTTGGAGGTCCATACATGAATCGCCAATGCGAGTTTGACATGTGCACCGTTGGACTCTACCTGCAGCCAATTCCAATTCGAGTCAAGTTCCCAACTGAAGCGAAAAAGCTCGAAGCTGCTCATACATACGCTTCGGTAGTCCAATCCGCAAGCCAAGCAGCGATTTCGCACATTATGCCTTGGAATGAGTTGCAACGTGTTTGGACCACAAAAGTCGCATCAGCAGATCAGCCCATGTTCGAAGTAATGGTGACGTTTCACGAGAAGTCTACTGGGTTGGCACTACCTCTAGAAGGGAGCGAATCGCTCTTCACCTGGGCTGAAGGTTCCAAGTTTCCACTCATGTGTGAGTTCTTGGAGACCGATAAAGATTCCATCGTTCTGCGTCTCGAATACGACGACCACATACTGTCGAGGAAGGCTGTTTTCAGCATCGGAAGCAAGATAAGCAGGGCCTTGCCCTTATTATATGGCAACTTCAGCCTTGCAGATATCAGAGGCGAGTTGGCACTGCTATCCGCGGCCTCGACGAGTGAGGGTCTGCATGCAAGCATGGACGGGTCCAAGGAGTATTTCATGAAAAGAATTTCTGAACTCTAAACGAAATTGTCTATTGTTGCGCCATAGCTACAATGTAGAGGTTGTTACCTCTTGCAACTAGACAACTAGAGTAGAGCTGAGCTAAACCAAAATACATGGGCAATTCACGCAACTCCGAGGCACGATGGCGAAAACGAAGTCAATCCTGTCTAATCCCGTCGGGCCTGTACAGGAAGTACTTGTCCGTTCCAAAGTTCCGTAGATTGTGTAAGGAGTACGTACAGTGGGCCTACCTTCAGCTCATATGGATTGTAGGCCAATTTGAATGTAGTTCATGATACTGCTTAATGCTTCGACTTCTATTCCTCCTAGAATGCCCATTTGGCTCTTTCAGAGTTATATTCTCCCAAAGTCTTCCGCTTCAAGACCACATCAAGGTCATGAACGGGCAGCCGCACACCCGACATGACTTTCAATCTCGTCTTCGGAACTCCCACAGCAGTGCCAGGTGGCAGTTCGATGTCAAGGCTATATAGCAGCACGACCAAACTCCCCAGGATCATGTCGAACACAAAATGCCGTCCCGGGCAGATGGAACTTCCAACTCCAAAAGGAGCATAGGACCCAGGATGATGGTCATATTCGGACTTCATCCATCTTTCGGGTTTGAATTCTAGCACATCTGGACCCCAATTTTTTGGGTTTCTGTGGATCGTCTCGGTCGGTACGTACACGAGGCTTCCCTTCTTCAGCAAGCACCCATCCATGAGCTCAAAGTCTTGGACGACTTTGTATGCCCGTGCCGACGACGCGTACAAGCGGAGTGACTCTTGATAGGTCGCCACGAGGGTCGGACACTGTGCCCGAACTTGACCAATGTCGAATTGGAGCCGGTTTCCCTCGGCCTGCACAGACCGTCCTACTTCTTCCTTGATGGATCCGAAAAAAGATCCGGCCAAGGTATGAGCCAACATCCAGAAGACCGCCGGCACGGTATTGCTAAGTAGTCCATTCAACAATTCCAGCTCCGAACGTCCTAGATAGTCACCGGAAAGGCTGTGTTTGGTACTTATGTCTCTCCGTTTACGGCTGATGACGTTGACCTGGTCGCCTTCGTCGTCGTCGTGGGTATCTGCAATGCACCCCTTGAGTACGTCAACTAGCCTTTCACGGGCCTCGAATGCTTCCGGGGCCGTGTACTTGGGAAAGAAATTGAGAAGGAACGGCGACATGTTGGAATCCCATAACCTAGACAACAATTTCTTTGTTCAGAATATGAAAATGCTCAAAACTGTATTTCAAATGTCATACCAGTAGTCCCATATGAGGCTCGGCCGCGTCTCAAATGGGCTTTTCTTTCCGTACATTCCAGCACCTGCAACTCTTGTGTACAGCTCTTCCAACCACTTCATGAGATGGACACTATTCGTATCCGAGGGCATCATGTCATCAAGGACTTGAACAAACGCGTTCATGATTTTCACGTAGAACTGCCGGTTTGATTCGCCGGGCGCCAGCAATCTGTGCTCCGTAGTCCGCATGTCGTCTCTGTAGGGGGTGCGCTGGCCCTTTTGGCCGGACTTTGGCGTTGATACCAAGGTTTTCATGATGCTTTTGTCCACCCCGAGCATGTTTTGGAAAACAACGACAATGAACCCTGTCTCGGCATCAAGCTGCTTGTTCTTGCGAGAAAGTAGAGATGCAATCTCTCCTGCATTTACCGTGTAGATCTTTTGGCCCAGCAGATAGACAGCGTATATTGGAAGTTGATCCGTTTGAGCACTGCACGATTGATTTCGTTAAGCAATGTTAAACAACGATGGTTCTCTCTCACCTCAATACTACTGGATATGATGTGCCGTGACGGTAAATTCCTGGTAAATGCCCAAGGACGGGGGCGCCGGAGATCAAAGGAGGCTCTCTGGAATCGTGCTTCCAAATGGCATACCGTAGTAATACTACGGCCAAGGTTACTGCGACCAAGAGTAAGACGTGAGGCGGCGGAGAGCCTAACTCGCGAAGCCACTCCGCCATAATTGATTATGTGATGCGTTGGTTGATGTGACGATGGGTAAGTCAACGAGGACAAGATCCAGGCCTCCTTTGCTATGAGCCATGGTGCACCCAATGCTTGCGTTATGCTTTTAGTTCGCAACGGTAACATCCTAGGAAGCCTGTGGCCAGGTCTGGTGTGGCCTTGATCGGTCCGCCGAACGGTCCGCACGTGATGAACATGTTTCTACGATGTGGGTATGTGTGTATATGCCGAACCGCCCCCACTCATACTAGAGGCACGGTCTCGCTGTCGGGATCATCCTCCCTGAGTTGGGTTGATCTCACCGAGCACCAACCAAATGCGACTTTGGATTCGATAGTGATACATTATTTCACATTATTGTAGCTTACAACCACGTCCGCAAATACTTGGTAATACGGCATCTCGTGCTGTGGCACTGCATGCTAAGTAAAAGCGCCGCCCAGCGGCAGGTGTGGGCTTTCTCAGTCAGACAGTCCTCATTCCAGCATACGAGACAGCAACCATCATCATCTTGCGACCATTTCTCTCCCTCATCGGGCATAGCCCTATGGTACTTGGATCTGCACGATGCTTCGGGACCCCGAACGGACCGTGGTCTCGTTTGCAGCATGTAGAGGAACTCGAGACTCGAGAGATTCTTAATATTATTTTGCTTGCTAAACTGTAAAATCGGTCATACTATGTTCATTCCGGATACAATAAAGTCTGAAAATGGTCGACTGCAAAGGCGTTTATAAGCCAAGTTCTCCTGAGCCGAGCGACCTTGCCTGGGTTGATGGCTTAACTACGGTAATTGCAAAGATGAGAACAATCTTTTAGTAACATTGGTGCATGCTTGTACTAACGCAAAAGCCATCTAGGTTCCATTGATCCAGGGCACTGTCGGAGAAAGATTCATAGAAACTGTGAAAAGATACCCAGATCGAACGGCGATCCAGACTGCTTCCGACCAAGTCACATATAAGCAGCTAGATGAGCTGAGCGACGCTCTGGCAGCGACGCTCGTCGATCTCGGAGTCAACAAATCAGATAGGGTTGCTGTCAGCTTAGGTCATTGCATCGAGTATGCAGTGGTGAGTAGAGAAGCTTCGTTGAATGAAAGCGCCTTTGGCTTAATGGCTGAACAGATCGTGTATGCATGCGTCAAAGTAGGAGCAGTACTTGTTCCGTTGAATCCAGCACACAAACCTAGACAAACGATCAACTCCCTGAAGCACATCTCGGCACGTTGTTACATCGTCAGCGCGGAGATAACTCTTCCATTTAGACAACCTCAGTCCACTGTTGAATTACTAAATGAGATTTGCGCAGCTAGAGGTGACAACACCGCGTTGTTTTCCCCAGTGCCTTCATTAGAACATATTCTGCTCATCGATAACTCATCGGGACGAGTTGACGTCGTGAGGTATCCCGGACTTCACAACTATCATACAGTGTCTGCTGCCCACGTGGGTCAGAAGTTCCACCAGCACAATGACGCTCACGAAGGCGACGTCGTCAACATCCAATTCACGTCCGGTACAACATCATCTCCGAAAGCGGCATGCTTGACACATCGGAATGTACTAAACAACGGCTTCTTCGTGGGTTACGGAATGGAATTGACCGAAAAGGACATCATATGCTGTCCTCCGCCCATGTATCACTGCTTCGGTCAAGTTCTTGGTTTGATGACGGCCATGACCCACGGTTTGTCATCCATGAGTCTTTGCCTGATCGTCACTAACTGATGAAGGTGTCACATTGATCTTGCCCGCTGAGAGCTTCAACCCAAATGTAGCAGTAAATTCCGTCTTAGTCAATAAAGTGACGGTCCTCTACGGAGTCCCAACCATGTTCCTGGCATATCTGGACGTTATTGCTGAACAGTAAAGCCTCCCATACCCTTTTTCCTTTCTGGCTCCGTGAAGGGTGATACTAACAGTGTACACCAGGTCCATAGCGCCGACGACTCTCGCAAGTTTACGGACAGGCGTCATCGGAGGCAGTCCAATCCCACCTTCACTAAGAAAACAGCTCCACGAGAAGATGAACCTCTCAGCATTAACTAGCGTCTACGGCATGACCGAGGCATCGCCTATCGTCACCCAGACGAGATCTACAGATTCCCTGGAAAAGAAGCTACACACCGTCGGCCGCGTGATGCCGCATATGTCGCTGCGAATCGCCGACAGAGCCAACCCACATCGAGTCCTGCGTCGGGGACAAAAGGGCGAAGTCCAGATGTCTGGGTACTCTGTGATGCCTGGATACTGGAACGCGGAGGAGGAAAATGCGGAAACACTCCTCCTCGAGGACGATGATGGGCTGAATGGCTCCTCAAACAGCACTAATGGGACATCATCTACTCGAAGAATTTGGTTACGGTCCGGCGACGAAGGACTTATCGATGAAGATGGCTACATTAGGATTACCGGTCGCATCAAGGATATCATCATTCGAGGCGGGGAAAACATCCATCCGGCAGAAATCGAGAACTGTCTCATGGGCTACGATCTGGTGGCTGATGCCAGTGTGGTTGGCTTATTTGATGAGCGATATGGAGAAGTTATTGGGAGTTTCGTGATTCCAAAAGCGGCTGTGAGGCCGGTGATAACCGACACTGATCAAGATTCCTGCGCTGATTTGAGGACTGATCAGAGCGATAATACGAATTGTTCCTTGACGCTGACACCCAGTGATATCAGATCATGGGTACTGAGCCGCCTGGGCAAGATGTTCGTGCCCAAATATGTATTTTGGGTATCTAACATGCCACTGACAGCGAGCGGCAAAGTCATGAAGTTCCGCCTGCGAGAGATTGGAAACGAATGGTTAGATAAGAGAGCTTAAAACTTTTCCGAGCGCTTGTCGGGGCGAATAGCATGTGGCAATATGCTTCTTAGCTGTTGTCGACTAGAAGAGGTGTATCAGCTCTACATACAGTCTAGTCGAACTTGGCTACAATGCAGCATGCAGGAATGCGGCTCCAATCGCGGACTTCGGGAGATTATTCTTGCAGTCGGAAAAAGTGATACCCCGGACACCGCAGTGCAGTGTCATAAAGATAGAATGGCGACGAAGTGAAATTATCGATATAGGGCTTAACTGGATATAGGGCGTTCTCATATCCCTTATCCGTTATGTAGGCTTCCATTCGTAGGGCCCAGAACTCCCAGTTAGTGGAGCCTTTTAGGCGCTAAACTCTAAATGGATTAGAGTTATCAGCCATTTTTAACCTTATACCTTATATATATAAATATATATATAGGTTATAGGTTATTATATATCGATATAAGTATTCTAAACCTTATAAAGGTTTTAGAATAGGTAAAGGGTTTTTCGGAAATCTCGGATTCCTTAGGCCGGAAGGTCTCTTTATGTCGCTTAGTAATCTTTCCTTATAGGGTAAGGCGTTAATATAAAGGTCGTTTATGTTGCTAGAGCTACCCGGGCTCATAACCTGTTAAGAGGACCAGGTCATATCGTAATAGGGAAGGGTATAGCGTAATAGGCCTTTATTAATGAATGACTAGCTAAGTGATAGCTAAATAAGGACTTAGAGAGCTTAAAGGAGTGAAAGCCCGTGAAGGGGGGTAAAGGCCTCCTTATATAGACGTAACGGAGAGTCTATATAGAATGCTTTAGAACAGAATAGGCTATTAATTATAAATTAATAGTCTTACCATGCTCAGCCTTGCGCAGCGTACTCAGCCTTACGCGGGTTAACTGGTCAACACTTTTAACTTAGAATAGTTAATATAGTTAACACTTTGCAAAATTCCGTAAAAACCTTATTTTTTTGCAACATATAAAACATTTAATAATCATAAAAGCGGTGAGAACATAACGCTATATTTCTCAATAATCACCCTATAATTTCATAAATATTATATAATAATCTTGCTTCGGAGTAAATTCTCTATCTAAGTATCTAAATTTTACTATATAAAAAGGCGTGGTTATGATGCCATTATAGCTAAAGTTTAATTCTACGGTAAAAGTGGCCATGTTAATTATACTTAGAGTAGGAGTGAAAGGCATAGTCATTATAAAGGCTTAAGGGGTTTCTAATGCCTATATTTCTAAGGTTTAATGGGAGTTACGCTATTAAGATATCGAAATAAATAATATAGCACCTATTAAAGGTCGTCTAAAGTTAATTTATTATGCCGTAATGAAAGGACTTCATGATTTTATGCTAGATTAGCTAATAGCGCGGCTAGATAAGTGCTACGATTTTCTCCGTAATAAGTTTAGTATTAACGCTTATATATTAATAGTCTTCTAAGCACTTAACTCTATAAATGTCATGTATAAATGGGTAACTAGAGTTAACACTAGATAAGATAATAAACTTATCACTTCCTATATAGTATAGATAGCTAATTACACTAGTAACTAGCTAGTAACACTTGATAAAAGCGCCGTAAATAATAGAACTATGAATAGAAAGTTTAGCTAGTTAGCTTATAATACTTTATGCTAAGTATAACTACTAGGTAGCTAATCTACTAGTTAAAGCATTTTACCTATGATAATAATAGATAGGTAGCTCACTTATAAGGTCTATTAAGGCTCTTTTAACGCTAAATGATTCGAAACATTTCTCTAAGGAGTGCTTAATAAGATAAACCCCTTCCTAGGAGATTATTCTGTTCTGATTATAAATAATGTAATTATCTACTAATTCGATAGAGTTAAGCGAATGTGCGAGGAGTAGGGCGTCATTCTTAAGTACTTATCTCTATATACTTTAGAGCTTAATCTAATTAAGATATTATTTCATAAGTTAAAGGAGTGAATATAAAAGAATAGAGAACTAGGCTATTATTATGAGAATAGCTTTAATACCTTTATTTATTTAGTAATGACTAGTGTCTATAAGGCCGAGATAGCTCATAATTACTTCTATAGATATAGCTATATTTAATAAGGTATAGTAACTAGTAAAGAATAGATAAAAAAAGAAGGGGCTATAGATATTTTATTCTATAATAATAAGTCTAGTCTATATACCTTAATTTATCTATTCTTAAGGTTCTATAAATATAGCTATTATGTGATTATACTAACTATAATTAATTAAGCTATATACTATAATAGATATAGTGTGAGATAGTAATACATAAAATAATTATAATACTATACTAAGTTATGTAATAAGGCCTTATTAACTGCTATTCCCTAATAATATAATACTCACTAGATATCTATTTATACTATTATTAAAACCGTCTTCACTTGTTATAGCTAAACGCGCAAATTCCTTAAGGTTATTACGGATTTTAGTCACAAAACTAGCCGAAATAGTTATAGTCTTCTAATATTTATCTATATATATTTATAGATTAAAGAAGCTCTATTCATAATCCGTAATAAAGAGCTTAATCTCTAGTAACTTAGATATATAAATAAGATATTTAGTCGCTAGCTAATTAAAGTACTTCTATATGTTCTGATCATTATTACCCTCTCATTATGAAGGGCTTAATTAAGGCTTAGTGATGGTGACGGCGGTAGCTATTAATAGTAGAGATTAATAGATATATATAGAAGGTTATACTAAGTAACTCATTAATAAGATTTCTTTAATATTAAGTATAAATAGATATATATAGTTTGGTAGGTAAATAGGTAGAGATTAATACATAGTATTATAGCGTTTCTCATTCCTATTCTGTTCTGAGAGAAGAGTCACTATGATCGCGTCTAGTACCTAGTTAGCTATTACATTAGGAGCCTTCTTTATAATTATATCGCTTTAACACTAAACTAATGGCATGAATAAAGAAAAATACTATCCTCTATAATTAACGTATAGATAAGAGTAATTCTTATAATTCTTTAACTTATGATAATGTCTCTTTAAGATATTAAGGAAGCTTACTCTGGCGGCGGCCTCTTTTTATGCCTAGAGTTATTTTTCTTCTCGCTATTATTATGTTATAAAGATTACCTTAAGTTACTCTTTAACCTTTTATTCCTAGCCTTTTCCTTATAATAGTGATATATTTAGGTTAAGTTAAGATAACGGCTTAAGGAGATATTATCATAAGATAATAATGATATTAAAACGTTCTCACTAAATAAGCTATATTAACTAGTTAGTTAACGTCGTTTTAGCTTCTTAATAATTAAGTATACTAGTGCTAAATATATACTAAGTTTAGTTCTACTCTTATAGCTATCTTTTCAAGCATAATAAAGCTCTTATCACTTTTAATAGGCCTTCTTAAAGTGTTCCTAAGTCTTTATAGTTAAGAAATAAAGCTTTTTATTACCTTATTTAATTATGAACTTACCCCTAAAAATAGGGGGGCGTAATTTATAAGTCTTTTAATTATAGTCATTATATTAATACTTAAGTTAATCTTTATACTTAAGGAGTGTGTTAACAATATTAAAATCCTAATATAATACTTCTATACTAAGGATCTTAACCTTCTTAATAAAGATTTCTATAGTGATATTATAGAAAAGTTTATTAATTTTAAAGACTAATTTAATAGAGTTTATATTAGTTAAGCTTAAGTTATTCTCCGTAATATATAGTAAAGTATTTAATTAATAACTAGGTTATATTAATAGAGAGGCTTATATTAATATCTTTCTCTTCTCTTTATTATCTTCTCTAGTATTACTAGATATAAACGAGACTTTATTATCCTTATTAAGAAGATTTAATGCTTTCTATACTTATAACATAATGTTCTCCTTAATACTTAGTCTTAATAGTGACTTTAGTGACTCTAATAACTCTGGTAGGTTAGGACTAGCTATTTAAGAGGGATAAGAGCTTAAAGACATAGCATAACGCTTTAAACTTACTCTATTAGCTCTTGTTATAAGGCTATCGCTATTACTTTTACGCTTCATACGAGCGTTACGAGTAATAAGGGTCTTACGGAGTGATTAAAAGGCTAATAACTCCTAAAGTTAATAAAATAGAGTTATTATGCGCCTTATACAATTTAACATCATGTTTATATGTAGTTACGATATATTATAGTAAATTATAGTGCTATCTAGAGCTATTATAGCTGCAGAATAAGTTTATTAATATAGGCTATATAGTGATATATAGATTTTATAGAGTACTATATAGTTTAATGGACTATATAGAGTAATGAACCATAAAAACTTACCTAACTACCTTTTAATGTCTTTAACGCGGCACTAATATAACTATTCCATTATTTAAAGATATTAATAAGTAGTTAAACACTTTATCTTTCTCCTTAAACTCGATTTTAGTAATAAGTCACTAGCGTAATGAATCTTATTACTGTTTCGCTGACCACTTCGCTTTTACCTCTTAAGTAACCTTTAATACTTTCTCTATAAAATACATAAATTTACCTTCTAACCTAACTCTTTTACCTTACTTATAACTCTTTTATGCCTTAAGTAACTCACTTTACTCTTAATTTTATCACTAAAGAAGTATATTCTTAGTGATAAGTGTTTTCGTTATATAGATTACTTAGACTATATATTACTTAGTAAGTAATATAAGTTTAAATATTTATACTAACACTATATTTAAGAGTATATTAAATTTTTAAAGTTCTATACTATTTAGGGAAGAGCTATATAGTAAAGAGAAGTTAAGATTATATCTCTTTAGTAATATAATTAAATATAAAATATATATAATTATATTTTATAAAAGATAATTTAGTACCTTCTATAGATTATTTAGTATTACATCCCAGATTCTTAGAAGTCTATTTCCACTTATAGTGCCTACCTCTTGCCCTTTTGCTCACCCCAATCACACCTCTGACACTCTCGCTTCACACCCACCACTCCCCTTGACTCATCTGCAGCTCACCCCGACTCACCACCACCACGACGATGACAGGTTCCGGACGAAGGACTCGAAAAGGCGTGGTTCGAACGGGTCTCGGCGCCGCTGCCCAGCGAAGACCACCCTGTATTTTCGGCGGGGTGTTTTAGAATAGCGCCGTCGAGCGACTGTTCTCCCACAGCGATCAATGCCGCACGCACATATAAAGGGGGGGTCTGCTCCCGCCTACAACTAAGACGGTCGGTTGGTCTTCCCACTTACAGAACCTCGCCTTTCGTAGGCTATCGGGGCCGGCTGAATGGCATACTGTCCCGCCCTCGTTGACACCTAAGAGCTGCTGGCCTCCTACATTCTATCCCCTGCTTACGTGGTTGACTCACAGGCCCCTCTAAAGTGCTTAAGACTCGCTATGGGAGGTCGTCTCGTCGCCCGAAAACGGGCGGAACAAGACAGGCTCCGCGAAAAGCGGAATTTCAGCCACTGGGTAACCAAGGCTACGGATAAAGTAGTTCTGAAGCCCATCAAGCCGAAAACCGAGAACAGTTATAACAGGATGCTCGACGAATGGGATACGTGAGCCTTCCAGTCGGTCTAGGAGACGACCGTATTGACACGACGTTAGGTTTAGCGCTCGGCGCCGTTGCACGACCCCCTTCGATTTGAAGACGCTTAAACAATTCTTGAAATGGTACTGCGACGGACGGAAGGGTCGCATCCCCGATGACGGCGAGGACGACGGAGACGAGGCCGGCGGAACAGAGCCTCGAATGACACAGGACTCTGTCTACACATGTTGGAAGAGCTTCATGTCAGCTTGGCAACGCCGAGAGACGACGTCCTTCCCGAAGCATGTTCAGACCACGATCGAAACTGTAAGCTCCTCTGTCGATAATCTCTTACGAATATACGTCAATGTCTTATACTCTCTAGCTTATCTACGGGGGCGACAATAACTGGCTGAATCTGAGAACAGTACAGCGTCCAGCTCGAAATTTCACCCCCATAGACTTCAGAGTTTGCGTTGGTCAGCTTTGGGGAAATGACTGGCACGACTTCTACTGTGAATCATACCGCGTCCGTCTTCACCTGATGCAGCTCCTACACGCGAATACATCTGCTCGAACCGCGGAATACGTAATGAACCTGAGATATCTTGTATCATGCTACCCTCACCATAGCTTTATGGACATCGACCTTAGCTAACAGCTTTAGGATACCGCTATCTACCAAGTATGGTTTGAAGATAAATCGCAACCACAGATTGTAATCGATCTCTGTCGCAAACATACTAAGGGACTTGCCAACCTCCCGCGCAAACAGTAGGCTCTCCCCTTCCACTAGGAGACACGAGACTAACCGCGGGCTAAAGACCAGAGCATCTCTTGTACGAACTGGTTGACCAACCGTTTTACTATAATACGGTGTTATTCTTCGTGAGCCCCATCCTCGCGCTTGGCGGCCTACGTGACTTCAAAACGTGGCAAGATATCTGTGCTATACAAAAGCCAGGTGGCCGTGAATCGGTTCCGTTGCACTACAAGGAGGATTTCCTGAATAGGCCGGTCTTCCCGAGATCTGCGTCCCCATGGGAACCGGCGACATCGATGGTCAACGCTCTAGGTCACTTGGGAGAACGAGCAGGCTTCCGCGACAGACCGACGCCGGGTGCGATCCGTCGTGAAGGGCTACTAAAAGTTGATAGTGAGTGACCTAATGTATAAGGGAGAATGCCTGTCATGGGTATGCATACTGACTAGCTCTCTGCCAAAGTGCACGGTTATTCCATCAACGAGAGGATGAGACACGCCGACCACATCAACCCCAACACGTACGGGGGTTACTATCAAAGTGGCATCTCCACGGTGGATGGTCAGGCTACATTCTTCGGCCTGGAGAAACAGGGAACGAAACTTCACGAAATGTTCCGTGGCTTCTCGATTCACCGAATCCACAATTATAACCCCAAACTCCCACAGAATTTACATGCCAAACTAGACCGTCACGTCTCGGAAACTATGAAGGATCCTGCGTTCCGTGAAGAGTCATCTGGCCCAGGACTTGGTCAAAAACTTTATGACAAGAAACGACAGCATAAGGCGAGCCTTCTCCAACGACAGCGGCTGTCATTCTTTGATGATTGGACGTCACCCTACCCAAAGCTACCTTATGAATCTGATTTCCAACAAACTAGGAAGCTTATGCCTGAACGTGATCAACTGGCATCCACGTTGTTTATGTCCGGTTCATTGCGCGATATCAATGGGTGCCGCGTTATACAAGACCTCGTGGCTCTATGCTCATCACAAAACTCTGATACATTCTGTTATAATCTCAACGGATCCCGAACCGAATGCCTTACCTGTGGTCTGGCCAGACCCAGCAGCAACCACAACTGGTGGTATCACTTGTACAGTTGTCGGAAGAAACAAAGCGCAGGCGATGGACGCTTCTCTGAATTCTGTTTCCTATGCTTCCTGTGGCTCGAAGACACGGAATCTTGGCACAACCACGCCTATCACCACCTCGAACGCGTGGCAACTCTGCCGCTGAGATGTAACCTCACGATCTTTCGTGGGAACGTTATCCGGCCCGCCCTCTGCCCGAACTGTCTAGGAAATGATATCCTCCCGCCCACAGAGAGGATGCGTCAATTTCTTAATGTCACCGAGTGGAAAGCACATGTTCAGAGGTGTTACCCACGGCAAGGGGCACCATTTGAATGCAGACACCCCCGTTGCCGTGAGGTATCGGCTTTCGACCAAAACAGACTATTTGTTGAGCATCGTGCCGACCTCCACCAGACTCCGTCGCCTGAAAATGATGAGGCAGGGAGACTGGAGTACGCCGATAAGCCACCCTACCAAGCTAAACTGTCAGCCGCCATCGATGGTGGGCATCCTATTCGACGCTTGGAAGGTAGGTGTGGCGGCGACGGTTTCGTGATCTATTCATCCATGTCCATGAAAGCGAAGATTGAGAATCGGCGCACCGGGAAGCCACGCAATCCCTCTGAGATCCCAGAGCGGACAGTGGTGGTCTCAAGCGCATCATCTCAACTTCACTGTTCTCAGTCGGGAGCTACGGAAGTATCCAACACTGACCAAGCGTCACCTGCTCTTATCAATCGTACCGAAAAAGGAGCAAATGACAATGTACAACCACCGGCCTATTCGAAAGCCTGGATAAACGATGTTCAGGCTCCGGGGAGTGACGAGGACCGAGACAGCGCTGACTCAACTCCGGGACGGTCACTAGCCCGCTTGTTTAGACAAGATATATCACTCCTCGACGCCAAAAGCATTGATGTGCGGGGAGGCAAACGGCTGTTTCTGGCAGCGGATGCTGACCAACAAGGCACACGAAAAAAGAGGAAATGCAATATAACGATCGAGATTCCACCTCGACCGACTGATTGGTGGGTTTGGGAAAAGCTTGTTTCTCCGACAGAGAATCGAGGATCGATGACGTCTTCAAGCCGTCGAGATCCAACCCGAAAAGCGACCCCGAGGAAGACCGAAGGCGCCAACCAAAATGAAAGGCTGAAGCGACCACGCGGTAGACCGCAAGGGTCTCGCAATAAGAATAGACGCTCCAACTAGTATAGCTAATGTGATTACGTATATTCGGACTCGAGACACACCCGTAAAACACGATATAGCTCATGAAGGGCGGATGATGGCCTAGTCCTAGAACCCAACAAAAGAATCAGTCAACGCCCGCGCACCAACACATTCAGGGCCACCACAAGCCGGGCACGTGAGCCCCGGCCACCAACCCGTTCCCATTCCTGACACGTTAATCCAAGTAAACTCCTCGAAATGTTTTGCACACAGTATACAGTCTTGATTAGTCGTAGCTTCCGGTACCTGCTGGCAACATCTTGGAAGGTAGGTTAGCCCAGCCGTTACTGGTATCCCGTTATCTTCTGTAGTATTGGGAGGGCCTTGGATACCCCACTGGTCCACTGGCTGATGATTGTAAAAACAGTCATTTCCCGTCTGAGGTGCACCGGGGTCCTGGTCAAAAGTCGTTTGAACATCGTTGATCGCATTCGCACGTTGTTGTCGCTGCTCGACTTGATTCCAGATATGGCGGCCATCCTCGCCAAGCTGTGTAGAAGCCACCTCTGTCGCCGCGACGGTAGGTACTTCGGCCATCTGACGCTTTGCACCGTCTGCTCCTCGTTTCTGCTGTTTATCCTGGCCACTGTCGGTGTAGGGTTCCACTTCAAAATCTGCTTGCCTTGTTTTGTGGCACTGCAATTGCTGTGTGGCGGTATCCAATACCAACTTCACCTGCTTTAATTCTGCCCTAGATGTAAAAAGGAGCTCTCTAGCATGTGCTTGGCTTTCACCGAGTTGTTCCTGGAGCGACGAGACTTCGCATTTGAGATCGGTGATGGTTCGTCGAGCTTCCACCAGCTCTTTTTCTATTGAGCTATAAGTGGTGGCTTGCTCTCTCATTTGTCGACAGACTTCCGTGAATTCCTTCTCCACTTGTTCTTTCGTGGCTTTGGTACACAACATCTCTTTTGTAGTTGATTCTGCGGCATGCTGGGCCTGTACCAGATTCTGATTGGTCGCTGATAGTTGCTGCCTGTAGTTGTGAAGTGTCTGCTCAGCCGCCTGGTCTCTCTCCTGGAGACGTCGCTTCATGGTTGCGAGCTCGCTAGTCTGACTAGTCACAGTTTGTTCCGCTGCCATGAGATGCCTCCTGAGCTCGGTGATCTTGCTTTCTTGCTCGATATTTTCGCGTTTGGTTCCGCTCAACGCTTGCTCCGTCAAACCAAGTTGTTGGTGATTCGCCTGGAGTTGCTGCAGGTAATCCTCTGGTTGACGCGCAATGCTTTGATACTGCGCTGTTGATCTTCGCTCCCTAGATCGGTACCACTTCGAAGGTGTACTAGGCTGGACTTCAGAGTGACGGACGCGACGTAGACCCTTCCGCTTCCGTTTCGGTTTCGACATTCTCAACTCGAGACTGGTTTGAAGGGATATCGTGTATTCGATAAGCTTCTCCTTCGTGGCACTCTGGAGATGGGCTTCCAGTGTAGAACGGTCAGCGGGAAGCTCACAGCCTAATTGTCTCGAGAGGACCTTATTCCAGGCGCGAGCAGGATACTCATCATCTATAAGTGAGGAGATTCCAATAACGAGCTCTTCCTCGTTGTACTCCTCCAACTTTTGTCGTGTTCTGGTAGGTTTCTGTTTGCGATCCATGAGGAAGAGAAGGTAAGGAAGATAGGAGAAAGGAGGAGAGTGGGCGGCATGACACCTTTAAATATAAGTACTGTTAGTGCTTTATGATCACGGGTGCATTCTTTTCTTGTCTTAATCCCTGTCATTGCCCATCATACCAATGCTGCTGAGGTGGGTGGGAGCAAGCATTACGTTGTAGACCATGCATCCTAGTCTCTAAGCCCCGTCTCGTCGCGTCTCACCTTTCCTCTTGTTCTCTCCTGGTGATGACCTTCTTACGCCTTCTCAGGTGTGCCTTCCTGTGGTTTCTTTTCTGCTCACACGCATATCTCTTCCTCTAAGATCTAAAACAGAGCCAGAGGACAACTATCTCCTCTCTTCTGAACTCATATTGCCTCTTGGCCCGTGAGAGCTGGTCGCACTCCTCAAGGGGGCAGGCCCTCGTAGCCATGCGATCGAACAGCGCGCTGGTTCGGTTAGGACAATCATCCAATGGCAGAAATAGCTCAACATTGCTATATCAGTCGAAATGGAAGCCGTCATAGGCCGAGCCATCAGCCACGCGGAAGCTGCGATGGCCAAGCGGTACCTCCTTGGGTAATCTCTGGTTATGTGTTTATAGGTTCATGGTGGCTGTATGTTACACTATCCTCTTCGAGTGTTGTTTAGGGAAGGATAGCAAGCAATCAGCTGGAAGAGAAGAAAGAATCGTAGAGCCATACTAAAACACCATCAAGATATCGGGCCCCCAGGAAGAGCTATAATCACTTCACTGTTCGCGCTCTCTACTCATTAGTAATAGATCTGCTCCACTACTTTCTGCCGAGCAGAAGCATGGTTTACGCGGTTGCGAACCTTATTCAGACTAGAAGGTCAAAGTAGGTAGTATAAGAAGCTGATCGTTCGACTTTGGCAGCCAATCCGACTGATAAGGGGCCTGGTCAGCAGGTGTTTTGATTCGAAAGTGGACCTGGGGCTCGAAGATGATCCAATCGTCTTTGAAATTAACCTATACTAACAGATTTTGACTTATACTGGCAAGGATGTTGGCTGGTACTGAGGCTGTTGAACTTTTAATGACTCCGCCTTGCTTCGTAGCCTGGTAGACAATCTTATCATTCTGGGGATAGGTAACACTGATTCTTTGCTTAGTAAATTCCTAGTTTAGAAGGATAAAGAAAAATTTGGCTAGTATTTCACTGTCCCTCTACCGGTTACCACCCGAACCTTTCTTCAACGAAATCTAAATTTACACCTTTATCCAGCATCACTCTTGAAACACGCCTGACTTCATCGGCCAGCCCTCCACTTGAACAAACACTTACCCCCATGCATCCCAACTTCTCAGCAGCTTCTTGCCTCATCAAGGACTCGATATCCGGCCTGCCCTTTGACACTCGAATGGTTCCGCCGGAGCTTTGTACGCATTCAGTCCAGCGGGCTCGAGTGATATATACAAAAATTTGCAACACTTCGCTTCGACCTTTCATAACTAGGATCTCTCGTAACCATGATCGGATCCAATCAAGGCAGCCAGTGCTAGGAATAACCCATACCAACGTGATTCTCTTGGTTGCCACCATTTCTAGGGCGTAGCCTCGGATGAGTGTTCTTATATATCCAAGGTGATAAGTGATCCCTACACCTCCAGCAAAGAGGATCACCATCTCGTAGCTAGACAAATCTCGTGTTATACCGTAAGGTCCTTCGATAAGGGCAATGGTCTGAAGGGGCCCATCCGCCTTTATAGCTCGACGCCAGAGCTTTTTAGTCAGACCGGATCGTGTCTTGATAATCAGGAACATGACTTTCTCTGTGGAAGTCTCGGAGCGATAGACGGCCTTCTGATCGAAGTATCGCCCTCCAACGCATTGTGAACCGGTTGACAGGGTCGAATCTAAAGCTCCAGAATCTCCAGACCATGCTACTGAAAATGGGTGAGCTGTCCATAAACCAACGGCCGGAAGGGTTAGGTACAAAGATTGACCGGGACTGAAGCTACAGGGCCGCGGACATTTGATGGAGATTCGCAAGGCATAATGTGGTAGAATGTCGACATCCGCTGTAGTAACCTTGCTGCCCAAGTTCCGATACAGCAAGGTGAGCAGTCGAAGACCACGAAAGACACCCCAGGCTGCGGCCGCTCCTATCACCAAGGCTTTTTGGGGCAAATCCTCGAGGTGCCTGCAAAGACATGCCAACACCAAGACCGCCAACGCGATATGCAGATGCAAGAATAACTCATAGGCTAAATGCCTGGCAGCCTTCAAACTCTGCAGCAAGATGACCGCGAATCCAAGAGCGGCAGTTAAGCCACTGTAAATAAAGGGCTTGTGGGTGGCAGACAGCATGGCTGCCCAGCCCTCGGATTCTGCCTTGACTATCAGCCAGCAGGTGGCATGGGCAAGGGCCTGAAGGGCCGCTAAGCGTCCCAGCCAGCGATGCATCATGTTAAATGTAGCGTATGAGATGTTCAACAATGATATCAAGGGATTCCTCATAGAAGATAGAACCATGATTGGAAGCAGATTCGCCACACAGAGCGTTCCCGCACGGTTTGCCGATGCCTTCAACACTTCTGTATTGGAGTGGATCCACGGTAATTTCCACGTGAGGTATAATCCATTGACGGCTATGAAGATAAGTATGATTGCGACTTCAATGCACGTAGGTAGACATCCTAGAACAATCCACCGACCTAAGGCGATTTCTTGGGCTCTTCGATGGCGAAATGTAGGGGCATAAAGTAGTCTGGCTTTTAGGAAGGAGATGCTGGGAGATCCGGAAGAAAAGTAGTGCTGTGATCCTCTCGCACCATCGATCGACACTAGAAATCGGATATAAACAGTGGCTCTTTGAGTGATCCTATAGGCCAAGAAGAGTCCGAGCATCCCTAGTATGGTCCAGATATAGTAGTGCGACAAAGAATAGTTGATGTTGTCCAGGATCTTTCTGTCGATATCGGCGTCTCCCCCTTTACTATAATCAGCCGAGATAGCTTCCGCCACTAGACTGAGTTGTAGAGAGAAGGGGGAAAAGAAAGTAAATCTGGTCACGCGTATGGTTGAAAGCATTGTATTTAAACCATTGTCTTCTTATTGTTTAACAAGCGACGTCGATGTTGCTAGAATTTATCAAGCTAACCCGGTGGCCTTTATACTGTAGATATTCAGCACATGAGGCTTACACTACCTAGACTCAAAGCGTCATCCTAGTAATGTCGCAGGATTCCTTTACACTACGCATCAGCGACATTATAGGATAACATCGTAAAGATCGAAGCTTCCTACTCCCACGGTTTTCGTTGTGAATTTACCTTCTCTGCCTACTTAATTTTATGGTAGTTCCACCCTCTGGACTCGGTGGGATACAAACTAATTACTCATGAGCTTTTATAGACACGCTTAGACCCATATACTCTATGGTACTTCAAAATTTCTCGACACTTTCAATGGTTAAGCTTCTAGCTACCTGAGATGGAACGTAAGATACTAGATGTGTAGTAATCTGGGGTTCAAACTAGGAAGGATCATGGAACACTACGTCAGAGACCACTATAGTCTACAGTATGATACTGTATATAGGATTTGATAGAAGATTGGGTTCTAGAGCCACTGTGATCTAGTGGGAAGTGGAGTTCTTTAACCCACAAACTACTAAGGGGATAACAGCTCGAATGCAACCACTATACTCTATAGCTGTTTAAGTTTCGGGCTCTAACCGCCACATTCAGTGGTTTTTAGTTGTTCTTTTACTGTGAGTCTATAGAGAGCATCTTTTCGTGCGGGAAAAACAACCGAAATCCTGGGCGCTCTTATTATCGGCTCATTAAGCCGCATCACGTATAAGGATATCCACTTTTCAACTTTCCGAGGGCTCATGCTCAGCGAAGGACCACCCGCACTTATATCTATATCTAGCCAATTCAAGATAGCGTTTCATATACGACAAAGCCTAGACCCAGAGTTCTACCACCATTTATCGTGGTTGTCCGATACTTGTCGAGGCCAGGGAAGCACCCGGATAATTCAAATCTTCACTCTTCTCTACAGTACCACGGGCTTGCATATGCTTATCTCGGCCGCAGGCTGAAGAATTAGCTCTGACGGCTTGTACAGTACAATGAATAGAATAGATTATACAAGGAAGGCGGCTTTGCAATCTAGTGTATGCTAACTGATTACTTACAGACTACGACGCAGATTCTTCAGACCCACTCTTCCATTTCCGTTCGTGAGGGTGTGCAACGCCGCTCTAGCACACCTTCCTGGGTGGGCTAGCGGTGTGCCGCTGGGTGTGCTCGGGTGCTGCACAGGGTGGGCTTGTTTCAGACGCTCTTGGCGCCAGTTTCCACCGAAGGCCGTGGCCGTACCTTGGGAAAGCCGCGACTTCCCGTTGCGGTCGGTCCCATGCCTAAAGAGGGTTACTCCCTAATACAAGAGGCGAGTGCACGTGATCCACGGGCACGAGAAAGTGGTGGTATTCAGCCAGTGGCACCAAACCTGGATAGGAAGCCTCACACTCGTGCCGTGATTGGCTCACCACCGGGCCCCCTGGTTGTTCTTCTGCGAACAGTCGGGATGTGTAGCCCTGCCACGAGTCTCCGTGGCGTTGTATCGGAACGCAAGGTGGCCTCAAGAACGGCCACAGAAGCTGAAACGCAGGGACTCTTCTTCATTGGTTGATGAAGTCACCCACGCAAATCCGTTGCTATGTCGCAGGGTCAATGGCCATCCCCATCTCCATTACTTAGCTCTTCTACTGTACACAGCAGCTGATCAAACGAGAATCACAATCGTGTCATAGGTCGTTGCACGGCCTGATGACGTGACCGTCAACGAGCACCTTATCCGACCGCGCCAGCGTCTGCCTTTTTATTCCGTCCGCCTCCTCATACAGTACTTGCCTTGGCTTCCCAGCACCTCTGCCAGGTTGCTTATGCTTCTTAACGTGTGTAGATAGTTAGGCCTAAGCAACTCCTCCCGCTGTGTCAGTGTTTGCCGGTTTATCCTTTCTGCCTCCTTGTACTTGCCACAACCGACTGGCTGGAGAGCGGCGGTAAAACCTAGAAAGTCTTGGGCAAACTAGCACTGCGGAGTATGTTCATATGGTCAGTTGTATCCGGCTATATTCAAAATGCTTTCGGCTATAATATAGTCCAGAGATCATGATACTCATCCCCAGTCGGATTTGATACATGAGCTAAACATTGGCAGTCTGTGGAGGTTCGAGTGACGGGAATGGCAGCAGGATATGCCACCAAGGCCGCGCTCACAGTTGTGCTTGTGCAACTCACTCCAATCGCTGTCCGATCCACCAGCTGCAATTCTTCATGATGCCTGGATCCAACTGCAAAGGTAAAAGGAGGTCGTGGATTGGTCGGCCTGCTAGTGACACAACGAGACAGCTGAGGACATCAATGTTGAATGTGTCTACATTGAGAAGGTGGTTAAGCTAGTTTGCCGACCGCCTCCATGTCGTATGTGACTCCGCGGCTTCGCGGAGTACTCGAGCGCGATGTCCTGCTCGCTGCGCTCTTGAGCCAACTGCAGAAGATCGGCTTCGGATCGTCGCCGTTCGGGCGTCAATGAACACTCAACGACGCAGTCATGAGTCGTGGCCCATAATGTGTAGGTGCGGTAGCAGGTACTGCCGCGACATATGATGGCTCGTTGGCGAGGGATCGGTGGGCACCACAACTGCAGTTGCGCGGCGGTTCGATTGCCGTCTGCATCGAGCGTCAGGCGGCCAAAACCATCGTCGCACGTAATGAGGCCGGCACAACGGCAGTCGTCCCAAGACGTCGAGTCAAGAGCCCATGAATCAACAATGTGGGTTTTCTGTGGCTGCGCATTCTGTTCAGCATCCGGCCACAGCGGACCAGTCCTCGGTCTCCCAATGTCCTTGGTGTGCGTTCTTTCGTGTCTGCAGGGTTGTGTCAATATCCAGAGTTGGGTCTTCCAAAAGGACCATGCAATTTGTCTATGCGAAAATCCCAGTACGGTCGCGTTTTTGACGCATTTCTCTTGAGCGTAATGATTGCGCCAGTCATGTCCAGCAGATTCTCATACAAGCAGACGTCGAGGCCACTTAATCGGTGGCCAGCTAAGATCCAAAGTCCGCGATGATCGGCTCGTCGATACACCTTGTCGGCTTCAACAACTTCTTGACGACTTTCAGATGCCATGAACAAATGTGACCAATCATCTGGCGTGTCTCACACAAAGTCTGGCTCCTCACAACCTGCCCAGGAGTCTTTGAGAAGGCACACTGGATTGAAGTCGAAATCAAACCCTAGAGCTGCTTGTTGCAGACTGCCATACTCAGAGGAGAACTCAAGGACCAGCACAGCACCCCACTGTCCTGGGTGCAAGATTGCTGAAAGACAATCACTTGAAGGGTTACGCGCGTGCATTCGTGTGGACGGTGGCAGCCAGCTATCCGTCAGAGAGAATCTGTATCTGGGCCTGTTGAGGCAGGCACTCTCCTTACTAGTGCTTAAAGTCTGATGTATGTAGAGTGGTCAGTGTTCAGTTGGTCTATCTTGACCTCGACGCGCTTTCCAAGTCCGACGCCAGACCCCGTTTTGACTGAGGTTGATTCGCGTATATTAATCGTCTTCTGAAAGGCGCTGGAGAAAGATGCCTATAGGTACTGACTCCAGCTGTGTAGTTCGATCTGCGCAGTCGAGGTACGCAAGGTACGTATCGGCCATCCATGGTGTAACTTTTAAATCGATTGAGAGGCCATGATTGGTCATCGCGAAAGGTCCACGTCCATTTAGAGAATCTTCCAATGATATGAATTGGCATTTACAGAAGTAAGCTGGACTAGAAGCAAGCAGACTAGAAAACTTCATGTCGTTCATCGACCAAGCAAAGATGGAATGGTCGTTGTTGTACTTGATGATTTCTTCCTGTAATCGAAAGAACGCGCGCAGTCCTTCCCTATAAAGGAGAGGCATATTAACATCAAATAAGCCCAGCAAGCAATACACACTGTCTTCAGCACGGGTTGTAACTCGTTCGGCAGCCCAGGACATTTTCTGCGCGATGGAATACCCTCTCAGATTAGTCGATCTAAGAGCTGTCGCAGGTATTTGGGTGACAGAGGCAATTACTCCAGTCAGAGTGTGTTTGGTGCCTAGACGTTGCCATCGTCGGTCGTAGAAAATGGCCTTCGCTGGGGCAAGTAGCTCCTGGAGAGTCCAACCGCGCGTGAACCATCTGGCTTTCGAGATGTTCTTCTTCCAGTTTGCCTTTTCCACGTCACTGAGATAAATATAGCAAGCCTTTGCGTCTCGATACCATCTGTACATCGAGTTAATAGCCTCACTGAGCTCGGCACTACTTTGTTTGTTGATGCAGCAGGTGTCAACCCAACAGTAATCCAGTCCCTCTTTCCTCGCCTGATTGGCGCAGTACCGCAGTTTAGCGTATCCTGCCTTGCTCTTCTCCGTCTTCTTTTCCATATCGTCAAAGGTGACCTCAGCGTCATCGGGACCCACGTATGGGACAGGATGGCGTAGGCGGCGGGCGGCGGCGTCACATCTTTAGTCAAGGTCAGCTCGCCAGAGGGGTCAAGATATAGGAGGCGCATCTTGAGCCGTTTGCCAGTAAAGAAGAGCAGCGGCTGAGGGCGTCAACGCGGGACGAGCATTTAGATCTTGAGCATGCGGGAGACGGCGACAAGGTGCGTGGTGGACCGCCGCATGGAAGGACGCATGCAGGCCACTGCCTAGAGCCAGGCATTTGAAATGCATCGCACGGCAACATCAGGGGGTGTTCATGATCAGGCTGGACGGCCATGCCATCCAGCCACAGACTAGTACTGGCATGACCAAGGTGCTTCAGCCGTCGACCACAGGGCCATGAGGCGCGGGTGCAAGGCAGGGCCGCTTCAAAGTACAGTCACGTGCGCTTACTGACGTAGCGCCCCGTGAAAAGACCGTCAGACGGGAGAGCACAAGATCGGCAAGGCTGGTGCTGTCGTATTCAGCACGATCCGTCAACACCACCACGCGGAATTGGCACGAGGACATATTGGACCTACGGCGGATGATCGCAGTCGTTTATACTGTAGAAGGTTTATTGAAGACACATCGGCACGCACTTACGTCAAGAGAGACAAGCTTGGAAAGAGAACATCCTGAAACGGCATCGACCATGGATGACGTGGCAGTCACAATGAGAAGCAAGGCACGTATGAGGCAGAAGCGACGGACCGGCAGACGCTGGTGTGGCGGGAGAAGTTGCTTGGGCTCGGCATCTATGCAGCAGGTCTAAATTACTTCGCAATAGGGTATAGAAATGGCAGAGTGGTTTTGGGTAAGCATGTCTGGAAGTAGGAAAAAGCGCATCAAGGCGCTGACTGGGTTTGATTTAATTCAGGCATAATGTTGTTCGAAGTTGACCATATTGCTTGTCCCAGGTCCGAACGCCGGCAGAAAAAGGCATAGAAAGCTCTCTGCGGCTTGATCATTGTTGCCGCTCTGAAGCTATTCTCCATATGGAGCGTCTTGCTACGTCGTAGGCGTGTACCGATGTACATGCTAGCTATCATCTCGGCCCAGTGTGCTGTCGCTTTTCTCTGACTCGTTCAGTTGGTTGCGGAGTTGTTGCAGAGCCCCTGATGTATAGCTGTGATCGTGACCCAGAATCTGGATTCTGCCATTAAAAACGTCCAGTAGACAGAGGGCCGATCTGCCCGCCAACCCAACAGTGTACTGCACAGTCGCAAGTCGCTGATATAACTCGAGTTTGTATGCTTGTAGCAACTTAGGGCAGCCTTCTAGGCGTCCAATAGCATCGGTAAAGGCTTCTGCCGCCTGTGAGTAACGACCTCGTTCTTGAAGTAAGCGGCCGAGTAGAGCAAGAGAGTTGACTACGAGCAGGTGATCTCGCCCGTGAGTCTTTTGAGCGAGCACAATGCAGTCCTTCAACTCGCTTTTGAGCATAGATGTGGCGAACGTGTCTGTGTACATCCGATGCCACATGAGAAAGTTGCGACCCGCCACAACAGACACGTTACTCTGGCCGTAGAGGTGCGTCATGAACGAAACTGCATCTTGGAGACGGTTGCCGTGATGGACAATCATTGCCTCATCGTCGATGCTGAACGCCAGGAGATATTGATAGAATGCTGAAGCTGGATATCCCGCCTCAGGCGACTTCTCAAGCTCGTTGCAGCAGGAGTATAAGAACTCTAATAGCTCTTCATCCATTGTGTGTGTACCGAGGATAGTTGCAACAAGGCTCAGGAAGGGGACTAGATATTTTTTGCTGTCAGCATGTGTGACGAATGCGCTGAAAGTGCTGATCGCAGCAGGCACTTGGAATCGATTGTGCCCAGCCTGGTCGTCAACACGGAACAACGTATCCCAACAGCCATGTGCCGCGTTGACAGTAGTCTGACACGACAACACGGTGTTTAGATGCACCTCCAGCAGCTTATGATACGGATCTTGCTGCGGCTGCAAAGGGTAGGCAGGTGGACGTTCTGGTGAAACCGTCATAGCTGAATTGCTGATTTTCAGCACGCGCTACTTGTTATGGTTGCTGCAGAATAACCGTATGTTTTGCTCACGGCCCAAATCTGTGCAGTTGCTGAGAACAACAGAACGTTGCACGAGTCGTACAAGATGTGGAAGAAGTGAGCCTCCTTCTACAAGGGTGCGAAGGATATACTTATCTCTTGATGTCCTGCTCAGACGAGCCGGAAGCGCCGGATGCCTTCCTGTTGAGTCGTAATGTAAGCATTGTGACGACGGAGGCACGGCCCAGCGCGTCTCGTGCTGCATGTTTAGCAGATTTATCACACAGACGCCGAATCAACCTTCGCGCCAACAACCGATGGCAGCGGCCCGTGGGATGTGCATTCCAGCCAATCCCTGTCCTACGTTGTGCTCCACAGCTCCGGGCGAGGCACGGAAGGAGTCTCCGGGTCACACCATTGCAGGTATGTTGCTCAGGACAGGGTTGCGTTGCATGGCCTCCGGGGTTCTGTTCATGACTCCTGCGCACCTTGGAGAAGCTGAAGCAAGCAAATGATGTCCATGGTCAGTCGTGGCGGAAAATCACCGTGTAACATTTCTCAGGATTCCTGACCTACACAACACGCGGTGAAAGCTCGCTGGCCAGGTTCTCTCTACGACTCCTGAGCTCCAAGTCTCATACACTCACCACAGAAACGTTACAAAAGGTGTGCCTACACGGGTCGCCCACAGAGGTCATGCTGGTTGTGCCCTTATCATGCGCTAACTGGCGACGGTTCAGGTTATATCTGCATCGATCCTGGCCGGCTCGTCCGACGGCGCCTTTGGTTATTCTAGCTTTGAGTCCAGAATGTTCAGTATCAAACGCCACATTCGTCGTAGTGCATGACTTCCCTGGGGCCTCCTTTGCGACTGCCTCTTTCTGTGCTTTCGACATCCGCTTCATTCAGCCAGCCAGAATGTGAGTTCTTCGCGAACGCACGTGAAAGTGGGAGCTCGTCGTCCTTCTGATAGCAGATCGGACGCTCACGCGTCATATCAAGTATCAATCGCTGTGTGCGATCGCCGGGCAGCTTTTGGTCTGCAGGGAAGAGGCGCCGATCACCGGGTGCAGCCGCGGCACGCGAGCTATCATTTTTAGCGTCGGCGCCTACCTGCTGCAACAGCCTATTGGATGGTGGGAGGCGAAGTGGGTGTCCCCACAAGACCTGACGGCGGCACGGTGAAACAACGCGCGTGAAGCACCACCTGTCTATTACAAACAGACTCCTCGTCTCCTGGCGACAAGGACCTGCTTACTTGTACCACGGCAAACATCCAGAACCGCGTCTTCCGCACAATAATGGGTGCAACTGTGTCAGAAGCTTCCGCCATCGTACGCCATGGTCGGATTGTCCCTTCGCCTCTAGCCCTTCTGGAGTCTACTTGCCGCCTGACTCCATCGCACACCAGACTGAGTGATCTCCCACCGGAGAACCTTGCAAACATCGGATCGTTTTGTTCTTACCGAACCCTTCTCTCTCTAGGACGCTTATGCCTGGCCTTCCGTAACTTGCCTCACACCCATTCTTTGGTAAGGACAATAGCGGAGTCTGCGTGCAACAACAGTGAATTCAATGTCTCTGGGCGATGGTCAGCCATTCTTCTAGATCTATGACATACGAAATCCGTCTGTGTGGCGATTGAGAGGACTATTAAATCTGGCCGGGGCCCGTCGCTGCTTGCTACAAGTTTCTCAAGATCCAGGATTGTGTTGGCTGTCCACGCACATCCTCTTACCGGAGTCATGGATCTCAACGCCCTACAGTGTTGCTTGCACATTGCTCGATATTACAAGTTGGACCAAATGGTTTCAGACACGGCGTTCTGTCTGATCGCGGCGAGTTTAGCGCGAGGAGTTCCCCAGGATGACCTCCACTTTTTCGACTTGAGAGGAGCCAAACCCCTACGATATCAGAGCCATTGGTTGTGATAGCTTTTCTGGCAGTTAACATTTATCGCCAGTCAATGCAGGACATCAGAGAAATCCATCTGTGTCCCGCACTGTCTCGCATCCCATTCACTACCTTGCTAGGAGAGTTACCGTCACTCATGACAGGACATGACACTCTAAAACACTTTGAGCCGCACCTGCAATCAATACTTGTCGACGATTTCCTGGACTGCGAATGGGTTGGTCTCTATCACCGGAACTGGGACTCTTTATATAGATTTGACTCTGTTCAGTCTATAGTAAAAGTTGACAACAATCGCCTAAAAGTCTCCGCTGCAATCATTGAGCCACTGAATATTGTAAGCAATGACTTCGCAATGACGCCTTTTGGACTGGTGGTCTTCTCGGAGGGGGTAACATGGCTCTGGAAGAAGGATTGGTGTAACGACAGGTTTCCGGTGGTTGAGGATTTGGGCGACTGTGGACATCAGCCTGACTTGGTTGTAAGTCAACCTTCATTGCTGCGAGATATGCTTCCGACCAGCATAGTCCTATTATATCAAAATAAGGTTAGCGGATAGGTTCTGGGCGCTGGTGGACGGAATTGACGGCCAGTTCAAATTCCAGAAGGACTATTTCGATGTCGACGATGCGTCTGCCATGGTAGAAATTTCGCACCGCTTCAGGGGGTCCAGAAATGACTAATGTTAGCTTCGAAGTGCTTCACGACTTTCGGCTCGGAGGAGCGTCCACGGAATGACAAAATTACTACTACACGTGTGGAATGTCCAGGTTCTGCTATCAACAAGCTCTCCCTAGACGAAGTCCTCAGCCCGATCTCGCAGTGATAGCTGCAGTAGGCAGACGGGATCAGAACCAATCCCGACTTCGTGTCCCTGACGATCTCATCACCATCCATCATGGCACACCAGCAGATCGTGTATCTCAGTGTCACCAGAGTCCATCATCTCGCGCGCATTGATTCGACATAGACCGAAGATGCGGTAACGGCGGTCAGACTTGATATGGGCGTCTCCCTCACCGTGAGACAACTGAACACCAAGGTGGAGCTGTGACAGGCAGTTGGAACTGTCCTCGCTCTGGCAAGGGCCGAATCTACTAGTTCGATACGTTCTGCAAGACTTCCTTGGCTCTGAAAACACCAACCCCCTCAATACTCGGATACCCTTTCTGGTAGCCCAAAGCGTACACCACTGCTCCTGGCCCAAAGGATGAGACATATTTTTTGTACTGCCTTTTCTCGTTCTGGGCCAGAAATGGATTCTGAGGAAACCCGAAATAGTTCTTGAATTCAAGCCAATGGCATGGGTGTCCGCAGATCGTCACCCGGGCGGAAAATCTCACATCCGGCGTCTGGGGAACGGGAAGTCCCATCTGTTGGGCCTGCTGTCGCTGCTCTTGCTCTCTTGCAAAGACGAATCCTTGTCGGGACAAGCTTTCTGCGAACGCATCTTCTGCCTGCTGTGCCAGTTCTGACCGTTGCCGTTGTCGCTCAGCGCGCCTTTGTGCATCTGCTGGACTTTCGTTTAGGGAATTCAGGCGCTCAGCTGCATTCCAGAGCGACGAAACTACGGAAACTTCAAGTGTTGTTCCGGATCGCCGTACGATATCTTGGACGCTTGCCTGCGTGCGTCTCAAGAGCAAAGCTGTTTTGTATACTGGCTTCACCAATTCAGGCGAGATTCCGTCGTAGGGGGGATGCGTCTGCGAGTCGCGGAGATGTTGTTGGAGAGCGTTCTGGCTGCTGAAAGATCGGCTGCAGTCTGCGCAGTCAACAGGTGCAGCGTGTGCTGGTGAATTGGCCAGATGTTGATTCAGAGCTCTTTCGCTAGGGAACAATCGACGGCAGATCCCACAGTCGAACGCGTGTGCAGTCGAGTCTCTTCTGTGTTGCAACAGCGCGGCGTGACTGGCGAACGACCGATCGCAAGGGACGCAGTGGGAGGTCATTTTGGAAGAATAAGTGCGCAAGTCGCATGAAGAGAATTAGCCCAGAGTGAGAGTTCGTTCTGCACGGGGAACTGCCGATGAGATAAAGCCATCTGCCCGATATGCATGAGCGCCCACGTAACACAGATGTCGTATAACAACAGTGCTTCACAGTCGTCCAATAGTTACATGACACGAGGTCTACCGTGCCGGTCTTGGCTTCTCCGTGAGCTTGTGACAACCGTCACAGAACAATGCGTCATTTTCGCAAAGTAGATGCCTTGTAGCACCCTCCTATGCCTGTTGCTTGTTGACTTTCGAATCGGCTGTCGGCACCTAATGCACAAGATCCGGATCCGTCATTCGAGTTAGCGGCACAGGAGACCATTATCACGTAAGTGCATCGGCGTTGTCCACATGAGCATTTTTTATGTTGCACGGCTATTGTTGCGGAATTCATGATCGACAAACCCCAACATTACCACGCTCGACATGTTGGTGGTGGATTCAGGTCGGCCATGAACTCCGCTACTCTCTGCAAGGATTCTCCGGCGAATCTCCTTGCGAACACATCGCAACATCTTTTCGAGTATGCATGTGCAGGCTTGACAATACCGCCCACGTCTGGCTCGTGCCGGGCAAGGTAGAGCCCATTTGACCCAAGCGTTGCCATGGCTTTCCCTAGGAGCTGTAATGAGAGGATGTAACTCAGCATACAGCTCGCAGCAATAACACGAGGGTTTGCTGCAACCAATATATGGCAGTGATTGTGTGAAACGAAACTCTCGGCGGTGAAAGTGGGCGAGCATCACAGCTTCCGCGTGGAAGCACTGCTGCTTCTGCCGATGTTTCAGTCGCTCCATGAACTTCTTGTCCACATCGAAGCCCCAACGGTGCTGCATTACATGCTTTGCCGATGCCGGAAGATTAGGATTATTGACCGAGGTCAGTGACCCAAGGACTTCATCAAGACTTCTCGTGGGCTCACGTTGCCCTTGCGTCACAATTCCTGCATAACGAACGACCTGCACCGTTGCGTTGCGCAGTATGTCTGAGATCTCGTTTGCTTCCATGGTCACAACCAGTGTAGCTTTCCACCATGACCCAAGTCTGCCAACATAGTGCCGCAAGAGTTGCCAACTACCATTAGGCCCGGATGCTGTAGCCCTTATCCGTAATGTTTGTGATGCTGCCGTTTTTCGGAAGCAGAATGCTAGCGTGCATAGTCGTTCGTGCTCGTCATATGATTGCAGGATCTCGGAAATGTCCTTAGACAGCTGGCGATCTGAATGCTATTCAGCGGATGCGGTCTGAGCTGCAGGCAGTCTTTACCTCTCTCATTGGTCTCTTGAAGCAGTAAGCAGTGAGAAGCAATCGTCTTTAATTGTTCAAGATAGTTTCGAACTCGTTCACGACTGAAATTGACCGACTTCCGAAAAATCTCTTTGCATACAACCTCCCTTGTTTCAGATCCATCGACGAGCTGCCGAAGTCTTCCAAGCAGCCACTGAAGATGCTTCTTCACTCCCCGAGAACTGCCATTGTTGCTTGCGATCCAGAAATTTGACCCGCTGGAAGAACCCTGCACAGCGATCGAAGCAACTGTCCTTCCTCGAGGCAATGGATCACAGAGCCAAGAGAGATGGTCGAGAAATTTCTGTCCTGAAGTCCTGGATAGGGGACGCTTGATCTGAGACTTGGTCTTCGTATCAGGGGTTGTTGGTGGATCAAGGAAGCTAAGCAATGCAACGTATTCACCAAGAACCATCTCCATTCTCCGGCTGTGAGTAGTCGCCATGGGCAGACCTTAAGCTGGTATGGTGACGTCTGAAACTCAAGAGGTTCTTTACTGCGTGTGCTAGAGATTTGTAGAAGTGTAGCTTGCGGATTACATTTTTCAACTGCCTAAGGAGTGGGTTGACCCTCGACTTTCTCCCAGACCCCATCCTAACCAACATAGCTCATCAAAATCTCATGGGTTTGTCACACTCGGATGCCGAAATGCCGGCATGCATGATATGCTGCAGCATGACGCGCCACTTTCTTGTTTCTCCCTGAAGCCCTGAACGTCTCTTCCCCACATAGTGCCACTGCTATGCACTGCATATTGCCAGGACTGGTCTCGTATTCGTAGCTGGTAACAAAACCATGCTGCTGGCCGTACTCATTCAGAGCGGACGCGAACTTCCCAGGATCAGATCCCGGCAAAACATCAGAATCATTAAGATTGTGCCAATATCCGGCAGAGGTGCCACGAGTCGGACGTGGGAGAGGCTGACGCAGTCTCTGCAGTAGTCTAGCTTGCCCTTCACGTGGTCCTATCCGAACGGTCCGTCCGACTTCAGTGACCAGGGCATGGAACGCATGACCAGCGCTACTGTCACCGATGAAGTCGTGGCTGTCATCGTTCATGCCAGAGAGTCGTTGCAGCACCTGCCGATATGGATACGAATGCAGCGTAGTTGTCCATTGACGCTTGATTCGTCAGCATAAATGTGACAGATGGACAGGGCCAACTTGCGTCAATCATCGCCATGTCTCCCGTGAAAGCCTCGGAATGGAGCAGGTGTTGGGCTATCACGCATTCGAAGTACTTTTTACCGAACCAATAGTCAACGTTCAGATCGGCATGGTCACCATTCATCGAAAAATCATCGTCATCTGAATCGCCAAAGCCCATATCGTAGGTCATGGAAGAGCGGCTGTCAGCCGTAGTAGATGGAGCGGATGTTGCCATTGCGAGATACGACATTTCACAAAACTTTGGTCGTGATCTACGACAAATATATGTAGTCGTAGTAATCTCCTCTCCTCATGGTGCAGTGAGAGCGCCAACGCATGCGTCGCCGAGTACGGCCCCGACCAGCTGGGCTGCATCCCTCCATTTAGAGTTCGCGCTAATTTGCGGCGCCTCAGTTGGGCGCGTGAGGACTTAAGTGTAGCGAATAGCGTGTGGTGTTGTCATCTACAGACTGCGCCATCTGCACTTAACGCCGTGGTTGCCAGTAGCTATGACCCCACGTCTGGAGAAGGCCGTTGTTGCAGATGTAGATCAGGTTCTCCACTTTTGTCGCCTGATGATCGACCGAGAACATTTCGGCACGCTTTGGCCGAAGTATAAGGCTACCACGCAGTACCATTGCATGGTGTGCAAGGTTCAAGATACTGATTCTAAGATGGATTTCCCCATCCTATGTGAGCATCTCCTTCATCGGGATCTCGTTCAGGTACAGGTCTCAGTTTCATACCAGTACTTATACTCGCTAAACGTGAACAGGCTGAGAAGATTCAGAGGATCACTTGGCTTCTAGACAGAGTGTACGATGTGCTGGGTTCAGATAACAAGATAGCAAAGGCCGTACCGTTCAAGGTCACTCCGAAAGGCGCGAAGCAAGACCGTCAATACCAGGCCATATTACGGTACACAGGACCGGACATCGAGACGCGCCTCACGCTGGAGCAAAACCACGAGCATTGGCTCGCACATCCTCAATATTTCTGGGAGCCAGTGAATCACACTGCATTCGGTGGCCTGAGTCCAGAAGCACAAATTGTCAGCCGTTACGTGAGTCTGCGCCGCAGTGACGTGTAGTCACGTATGGCACAGCGGTGCGCCTGTATTTTGTTGGTGGAGCAAGTTGCGCAGGTATCTGCCACAGATATCGCCATTGCATTGACTGGACAAACTCATGGTGAATTGTTCGATGATCGATGCAAGACCGTGAAGAAGATGATCGATTCAGGTTCTTACTATCGATCTTTAGAGCAGGCTCTAGGTAAGGGGGTTACCTTAGCCCTCGGGATCAGCCTTGCTGAAGACACGTAAGTGAGGTTATTACTTCTCAGCCAAAAGCGACTGACGTTGCAGATGGACCCGTATCATGACGAAGACAACGCGAAAATTCGATACCGGCGTCAGACATCTGCGAAACACACAGCTTGCGGAAATGGCCCAGACGTACGCTCAACTCCGTGAGACGCTGGTTCAGTTTGAAAGAGAACGTCTGTGGGACCGTACCGAAATGTTTCCCACGACGTATAATCATGCCATGGTCATGGACGACCTCCAATACGCCGAGACCGTACATCTGAATGATGACGAGTGTGATGCAATGCTCCAGATTTGCATTGACGGTGACATCCCGATGCCACCCTTCTGAGTATTCATAGATCACGCGAACCGATGGGTGAGGCTCCACCGTACTTCGTATGGTAAGATCAATGTTCTTTGGAGTAATGGGCTGGCTAATTAATATATTGGTATCAGTAGCACAGCCAGATAGCCATTGGATTTGGCCTTCTTCTTGCTGAATATCTTGCCTGTCTTCCGTGAGTAGCGACGGAGGGAAGATCTTGATGAGAAGGTCTTGGGTTGGAGGGCTAGCCTTCGTGCTTCGATCATATCCACGATGTTCACCAAGACGTTCGACAGTTCCTGGACTTTGTCAGTAAACATCCCAGGTATAGACGCTGGGACGTGCCTTCTTGCAGTGTGTAATTGAGGACGGTGGCGGCTGGATAGCAAGCTCTCGACAGAGGTCCTGCCAACCCTGTAGAGTTGTCTCCGGCTTGCTATAGTGCTCGTTGAATGCTTGTTCGAAGCACTTCTGGCGTTGCTTCGTATAAGTTCGACTGCCTGGTCTCCAGTGTTGATGTTGAGCTAGCCGTTGGAACTCATCGACCAACGCGGCTGTCTCAACATGATTGAAATCTTCGAAGACGGCAAAGTAGCTCTGCCCCATCGTTGCACCACTCATGATCGTACCAGACGCCGGCCTTCACAATAGTCTGGTATGCTCTCCGATTGACGAGGGTGCACTGGAGAAGCTAACGGGTGCCATTCCCTGACATGACATTGCCTGTCCTAAATAGGTCTCAGTAGCGTATTTTCAGCTTCCTTACTTTCTCGATGGATGTATGAGATGTCATGGCATCAGGATCGGAAGCTCCTTGATGCATCATCTGAGTTTGACATTCCAGTCAATGAATTCCTGCTGCTGAAAGCAGGCTATAAAGCTAGCCACTGTCTTTCTGATCCGAAGCCAGCCTTTCTCACCAATCTAGGCAGAGCCAGCGCATCACTATGGAGCTCTTTCTCCATACGACGACAAGCTGCCAGAGTCAGTCATGTTCATACAATGGATCGACACCATGGACCTGATCCGCGCTCTGGTCAACGAAATCACTCATATGGACAGGAAGTCCTTGATATTCGTGGATCTAGAAGGTATCAATCTCTCGCGCCACGTATCAGTGGCGATCATGCAGGTCCTCGTGCCGCCAAATCCTGCGGTGTACCTGATCGATATCCATGTACTGCAGAAAGAGGCATTTACCGCAGCCACAGACGATGGCGAGACTTTGGGTGGTATCCTTGAGTCCGATACCTACGCTAAGGTGTTTTTCGACATGCGCAATGACTCGGACGCTCTCTACAGCCATTTCGATATCCGCCTTCAGGGAGTCATTGACCTCCAGCTAATCGAATTCGCCGCTCGCCCTAAGCGTGGTCGCTTCCTGAAGGGCCTTTCGAAATGCATCACAGAAAGCCGAGTCCTGTCAATAGCACAGGCAAAAGAGTGGGAAAAAAGCAAGGACAGTGGTGTGTGCCTGTTCGCCCCCGAGCGTGGAGGAACATACGAAGTATTCTTGAGACGACCTCTCTCAGTCGTACTGCAGAGATATTGTGCCGGGGATGTATTAAAATTGCCACGCCTGCTACAGGTGTACGCTGCCCGTCTCCCAGCTCATCTCGTGGGTCAGGTCAGTGCCGAAGCTCTATGCCGAGTTGCACTCTCACAAAGCATCGACTTCAACGGCAAGGGAAAGCACATGGCATTAGGCCCAAATTTCACTTGGCAGCGGTAGAAGCTTCACGGCCCTCTCTCAAGAAGCAATGAGCTGACACGGAACAGCACCGGTCATCAGACCCCTGTCGATTTTCCTATGAGCTTGGTCTGCTCGCCTGGACTCAATGAACGCTGCAGACTTGGGGGCACCGCAACGGCTCTCACCTTGCCCTTGCCGGATACCACTTCCGTCAGTGCAGTCGAACGCCAGCCAGGACAGACAGCAGATGAAGTCACTGAGATGACGCACCAACTGCAGGGGGTGAATATTGGTGCAGACGATTGTCGGAGCCTTGGATCAGCTTCCACACAGCACTATGACAATAGCAATGAAGATCATGCCTCTGAGAATGATTTGTCGATTGCAAGCGCCCTCGAGCGGATGATGGCCACGGCCGATGGCATTGAATCAATATCAAGCTTGCCATTTCGAACCATGGCGATCTCGCCGTCTGATGACGATGCTGCCAAAGACTTCACCGCTTGTAGTGGGGATGATTGCGGCTGGTGTGGCCATTGTACCTACTGATGGAATCATTCCTCTATAGTATTGCTTACTCTACCTTGCTGGCGGCTCACTCGCTCTACGCGTCACTCCACAAATGCGGGAATCGCGGTCTTTGATTTTGCGGCAGACTGTCCGATCGGTGTTCAAGAACACCTTTCGATCGTCGGGAGGGTTTTCCTTCGACCCCACTGGTGAGAAGCGGCACAACGCAGCAGTGGTCCAAGCAGGCTGATCTGAACACCGGCTTCGCGAGTGACTGTAACAAGTATATTGCTTTTATCCTGCTGCCACTTTCACGCTGATCTTCACAGTGTTGGAGTGTCGGGCAGAGCTCGGTGTAGCGGACCATGCGCTTCAAACATGCATCACTTCCGGCACTAGTGTACCATTCCGATTGAAACGAATATGGTAGGGACTGACGAAGATTGCAATATCATTGAACAGTCCTTGGCGTGCACAGGCCACAATGCAGTGAACTTCGTTGTGGCCCGTGCGGCCTAAGATAGCCACTGAGGAGGGGCCTTCGTCCGTCCGGCCACAGCATCCTGAAGTGACGAGCATGAATCTCGAAGTAGTGATAGCTTGAGTTGAACGTTCATAATGGACGCTTTCCGTTGAGGGCCAGTATGCTATCATACAAGCAGCAAACTCGAATAGCACCATCGGTACGCGCCTAGGGAGGTTATCCGGAGTTAGGCTTCCACTTAATCCGGCGTGAGGAAAGCAGATCATACGCTTGACCTAGCTGCGCAGTGCTTGTGACGATCATGATCGCACGTGATGGTTTTGTCGATCGCATGGACGTCTGTGTCACACTTTCCCTCGAAACCAGAGAAAATTCCATGTCTCAGTAAGCATGCTCACACTGTCGAGACTTTAGCCATTAGCACATATACTAAGCCCTACTAAAGTTGCTCTCCCTGCTGTCTGGTTCCTCTACCCCGAGACCCGCGGCCGAAGCCTCGAAGAGATCAATTTATTCTTTGCTTCGCCTTCGCTCCTTGTCAGTGCCAACGAGAAGGAGTATAACAGGAGGGTCCAAGAGGCAGGGGGCAATTCTGCTATGGCAGAAAGGCGTTTACTTGATGAGGTTGACGCGTCGATAAGAGAAAAAGATGCTAAGGTTTGGGCCTCTGCGGCACCTGACGATAGCGAAAAAGGAGGTGCATCCCGAGTTGTGATGCATAGTGTTTCCAAGGCGTAAATGACGGGTGTAGGATGATAGAGATTCTGTTCCACCTGTGTCCTGAGTCGCTACTACCAGTACACAAAAATCACTACTCACAGAAAGTGGTTGTTGGTAATATAGTGTCATAGCCTCGCCCTGCCTTAATAAGTAAGCTTTCTTTTTGTTGTAGTCGCTCTCTTTCTCACGCCGTCGTGTTGTCATCCTCTTCAAACGCTCATCCATCGTGGCGCTCTGACCGAGACACATTCATCATTGCACCAAGAGGAAGCTGATAGTGCGACTCAGACCTTGTCCGGGCGCAGAGACCCTGAACTCAACACCAGACTGGTCTCATTTCTAGTCTACCCACTCCTTTTCGACTTTGCTGTCATTCCGCTCCATCACATTCGAGTCGATCATCTGTCTCGGCGCGAAGAGGTGCGCAAAGTGTTCAAGAGGTGTTGTCTATCTTATCGTGAGCATGCTTTGATGCACTGTTTAATTGTCCTGTAATGCATCACGCTCATGCCATGCCTGGGTTGCTCAATACGTGTCATTCTTGACATGAGGACATGATCGTGTGGGTATGCGCCATGTCAAGCTGCCGGAGTATGCTGTTCAGCACCGGCAGCTGCTTCGTCATCGGTCGTTTCCGTTCCGTTGCATGACTTCCACGGCAGCCATGACAACAACACTCAGACGCCTACTGGGCTTGTTGAAGCTCGAAAGTTTCTTCAGTGGCATACAGTCGTGTCTGCTGAGTGGCATATTTGCTGATGCTAACGATACTGATCCCAGCCGTGAATACGAGCTTGCTGGCTCACCTCAATGCTCACCCCTTTCCGGGGTTTGAACAAGCCAAGACTGCAGTGCTACGCTTAGATCAGTCTGATGTGCATTGGCAGGTCGACAGGTCACATTTCGCATATTGCACGGCCTTTGTGTGTCCTTCCTTGTTAAAGACAAATCCCACACGTCCAAGGCCTCGATACAGTCCATGTAAACGACAAAGTCGTCGTTCTCTGTGATCTTCGGCGTCCGATACCACTCAATCACCATGTCCCGGTCTTCGCCACAACTTACGCCAACCTATACCGGCTGTACTGAAAGCGTGTACAATGCTACAATTCTCATCGAGGCCTGCATGCGGGCTCAACCTGGCTGCGGCCCTGTCAAGACGGTATCTCAGCTCTCAGACCGTGACTAGGCTCCATGTCACGTGACGCCGATCGTGGTGCAGGACCAACACATTCCAACAGCGACGGCGACGGCGACGGCGACAATGAAACAGTGTACGGGAAGTTCCTCTGACAGCTAAGAAGGAGGCGCAGTGAGCGACGGACCTCGCTGAACGAGGGTCGTTGAGATTATCTACACTGCATACACTTCAGTATCAAGCCCTCTCTACTTGTTCTGGAATCAGACCCCAAGTGTTGTTTAGGTTAGACTATACCTGTTGGTTCGCTTTACGAAATTGTCAGATTGGATGCGACATTGGGAAGGGCGGTAGGAGTGTTTGAAGCAGCTTGTCGGACGATAACTTTACCAATTCGAGTCGTTCAAGATCCAAATTAATTGAGTCAACATAGTTTCTCCTCTCGTACTATCCCAGCCGTCACACCTTGTCTCACTCAGCACTCACCACCTCCACGTCCTTCTCCTTCGCAGCCCTGTGATGGTCGTCCTCGACAGCCTCCATGGTCAACTTGTCCCCAAACACAGTATACAGCTTCTCCAACTCCTTCTCCTCTTCCCACGCGAAGGGGCTCCGGCTGGCGAACAGGAAATCCATCGTCTCTAACGTCCGCTTCGCCGTCTCGGGGTAGAAAGCCCAGATCAGCACAGGGTAGATCAGATTCAGGCTCCCAAAGATCCAGAAGGTGTTGTACGTGATGCGTTGGAACATGATGGGGTTGACGAGGGTAGTCCAGGCGCAGCCGATGGCGAAGCCAGCGACGGCAAAGGAGTTGCCTTTGGCACGGGTGGAGGTCGGAAAGATTTCTGTCGGGTCTGGGACGGGGGAAGCGCGTTAGAAGGTTAGGATTGAAGGGGAAAAATGAGGGCAGGGGACGTACAGATCCAAGTTACCATCAGCCAGGTTGATGAGAAGAAGGCGGTAAAGAGGAAGAGGAACACGGTACAGCCGATGCCATAGCCTGTCTTGTTCTCTGGGTGGTCTTGTACTAGCTTCGCAAACCCGCCGGCGATGAACATGGACGCGGCGCATCCGATGCTGCCCACGTAGAGCATCATGCGCCGGCCAACGCGGTCGATGAGTAGGGCGCAGAGGTATGTGCCGGCGATGCCGAAAGTGTTGTTCAGAGCGGAGATCCAGCCGATTTTGTGCGCGCTCCAACCCGCTTGGGCGAGGACTGTCGGACCGTACATGACGACTGCGGTGATTCCGCCCCTGTTGCTGTATATGAGTCCGGTGTGGATGGGACTGGGGTTATTCCATTGCACTCACCATTCCATCATGATCTGAATACAAAAAGCGAGAGCAACTCGTCGACCGTAGTGCAATTTCCCAGACTGATAGCCGAAAGGCATGGCCCAGAGTGAGTCACGGGTGGCATGTTGTGTCTCCGAGGCAATGACTCTGCGTATCTCGCCGAACTCTGCAGCAACTTGAGGCGTCACGTCCCTCTTGGCCGAATCCTCTCGCAGCTTCTGCAGGATCTCCAAGGCTTCCTCGTGGCGATCTTGCTTGATCAGCCAACGAGGAGACTCTGGGAAGAACCAGATGGTGAGGGAGAGGATCAAAACAGGGATCAGATTGAAGCCAATGGGGAATCGCCACCTGAAGCCCCCTTGACCGCCATTCACGTAGCTGACGCCGAAAGCTATCCAGTACGCTACGGCAATACCGATATAGTTGGCCAGGAAAAGAAGACAGACAGACTTGCCACGTGTATGTGAAGGAGCAAGTTCCGAAGCCCAGCAAGGAACGACGTTGATCAGGTGGCCGGCGCCGACTCCAGCAATGAGACGAGCGCAAAGAAACCAATCTAGGAATATGAGTAATCAATTCCTCAAGTGCTTTCGGGGTGAGCTTACTGGTGTTCTGAGCTGCGGTCAAAAGTGCGGTCCCAATTATCCCCCAGAAAGTACCAAGGAAGACAGCGATCTTTCGACCATGCTTGTCGCTGATGCTCCCGCCCCAGAGACAGCCAACGAGGGCACCGAGGTAGTAGATGGACACAAGGCCACCGTCCTTGGTCGAATTTGTGATGACACCATCCTTACCGATGTCGGTGATCCGGATGGCATCCGGGGAGCTGAGCACACCCTGCCATGACGTTAGAATGAGCTCTTGATGTGTGGTATGGGCCGATTTACCCCCATCACCCCCTGATTGTAGCCTTCATAGAAGATTCCAAGCCCTGAGAAGGCATTGATGCTACATTAACGGTCAACAGATTGATGAGAAACGCAGAAATTCAAGCAAATCTGACCAGAGAAGGACCGTGGGCCCAGAGAAGTTCTTCCAAGATTGCAACCCCATGGTCAAACTCGATGGACAAAGGCCGGATTAGACAGGGAGAGGTCGTTGATGCGGTCGAAAAAGGCTTCCAACCAAGTGGCTTTGATAAGGACGAAGGCTACGTCTGCACGAGAAAGACGAGCCAGCGTCCGTCATCATATGTTGTTTTCCTCTCCGCGTAATGATTCCTGGATCTCCGGTTCTGGTCTGAAGATGCGGAGGTGGATGTGCTCTTTTGCCTCGCACCGTTTAGCCGTTTAAGCGTGAGAATATGTCAAGGTTGTCATTGGCTGGACGAACGGCACCCGAGAGTC